CCTAATAGTACTAGGTAAGTATTATTTGCGACCTATTTGTGTGTGTGTGTGTGTGTTTGTGTGTGTGCGTGCGTGCGTGCTTGCGCGCATGTGCGTGTGTGTGTGTGTGTGTGTATGTGTGAAGAAAAGTGTATGAGAATACGTGAAGAGGAATAAAGGTTGAGTACTAATTCGCTTACCTGTACGAGGTTGCCACTCGAGGACCTATTTTTTATATGTTTTCCAAGTTATATAGCTAGCCCATTGCCATTTCACTGTAATATTCCGTTGAGCTATGTCAGTTACTCTGATTCTAATGCAAATACCTTCATTTCTAACTTTATCATGTAGAGAAACCCCTCTCCAATTTACAATTTTTACATTTTTTAGATGATAGTTTGTCTAACATAAAAAAAACCATAAACCCAAGAATATCTTTATATAGTTATTTTTTTTTATAGGAGAGGGGGCAAACGAGCATGCGGCTCACCTGATGGTAAGTGACTACCGCCGCCCATGAACAACCGCAACACCAGGGGAATTGCAGATGCGTTGCCGGCCTTTTAAAAAGGAGTAGGCTCTTTTCTTGAAGGTCCCTAAGTCGTATCGGTCCGGAAAAATCGCTGGTGGTAAACTATTCCACAAGGAAGTTGTGCGAGGAAGAAAACATCTTCTAAATCGCACAGTAGTGGACCGCCAATCATCCAGATGGTGTGGATGGTATCGGGAGTTCTGCCGCGATGTGCGTTCGTGAAATTTGGCGGCTGGGATTAATCCGAACAATTCCTCAGAGCACTCCCCATGGTAAATGCGAAAGAAAATGCTAAGAGATGCAACATCTCTTCGCAGTGCCAATGAGTCGAGCCGATCGGAAAGTACTCGGTCGTCGACGATTCGAGCCGCTCTGCGCTGGATGCGGTCAAGTGGAAGAAGCTGGCACTGGGAAGCCCCAGCCCAGAGATGGGAACAGTATTCCATGTGAGGCCGAACCTGCGCCTTGTAAAGTTGCAGGCGTTGAGCCGGCATGAAATACTGTCCCGCTCTGCTGAGCACGCCAAGCTTTTTAGAGGCCAATTTGGCCTTCTCTTCCAAGTGACCACGAAACTGCACGCTACTCGATATGTCGACGCCAAGGATTCCGATACTGGCTGAGGCAACAAGGGGAGTACCTTGAAACTGAGGAGATACGACAAAGGGGTTCTTTTTAGCGGTAAACGCGCAAACTTGTGTCTTCTGAGGATTAAACTGGACTAGATTTAGTCGCCCCCAATCCGAGACTTTGTCCAGCAAAGACTCGACTTCAGACACAAGTTTGTTCCGGTACTCGGTGACGTTTTCCCGAGAAATATTGGCACGGCCGGTGTATAGAGCATCACCAGTGCTGTCATCTGCATAGCAATGAATGCTACCAGCTTGCAACATATCATTGATATGCAGAAGAAACAGCGTTGGTAATAGCACGCAGCCTTGTGGAACACCAGCGTTAATAGGCTTGTAGTCGGAGCATGCACCGTCTACAACGACCTTGATGCTCCGATCTGCAAGAAAGCTGGTGATCCAATTGCATAATTTCTCGGGAAGCCCATAGGAAGGGAGCTTCGAAAGAAGCGCTTTGTGCCAAACCCGATCGAAGGCCTTCGCAATGTCCAAACTAACGGCCAATGCCTCCCCCTTGGACTCTACTGCCAACGCCCATCTATGAGTTAAGTAGACCAGAAGATCACCAGCTGATCGACCCCGACGAAAACCGTACTGGCGGTCACTAATCAGCTGGTGATCCTCAAGGTACCGCATGAGGTGGCAGTTTACAACGGATTCCATTATTTTGGAGAACAAGGGGGTGATGGCGATAAGCCTGTAGTTGGACGGATCTGAGCGGTCGCCTTTTTTAGGGATCGGGTGGACAAAAGCTGTCTTCCATGATTTCGGGACTACGCCTAGGGAGTAGGAGTACCGGAAAAGACGCGTTAGAACCGGTGCCAACTCCGGAGCACACGTCCTCAGCACAATTGGGGGGATTCCGTCAGGCCCACTCGACTTGTGGATGTCAAGGGAGAGGAGTGCTCTGCGAACCGAGCGCTGTGAGAATCGCACATCCGGCATGGAGCACTCACACCGCGGGATGGTCGGCGGTGTGTTCCCCCCGTCATCAACAGTCGAGTTGGACGCAAAAAGGGAGCCTAAAAGGTCGGCCTTCTCTTTTGCGTCGTGGGCCAGTGAGTCGTCCTCCCTGTGCAGAGATTTATACTTAGGTAAGCACCATTCTTTTATTTATTTATATTGTTTGATTTAATTTGATAAGAGTGTACCTAAATGTAAATATCTGTATATTTATTTCTCTCCCCAATAATATTTTATAAAGTCATACTTATAAAAACAGCGTTTTATTGTAATACATAATTATAAAATTCATTATCAACTAATTAATAAAAATATGCAAGAATAAAATTACATGGGTATTAAAAACTATCGAAATCTAAGTAACGAGAGCATGTTCATCGTTCCACATCTAAATTATATAAAAATGCATTTTTCAATTTCACTAATCAACGTCGCCGCAAAAATTTCTTCTTCTTTGGGCACTTTAAAAATTCATTTATTTAGAAAATAATATTTACAGTTACCAGTGTACAGATATTAACTAAATTAAGTATTTCTAGTCATAAAAATATTTATAATTGAGTATAAACTTTTAAAAAACTAATATATATTTGAACGAAGTCGCTCCAACACCAACGTGCGGTCCACCCTCGACGATGTCCGAAAACGGACTGTGACAGAGCTTACATGGCGACGGAGCATGCGCGCTCGCGTAAATATATTCAATTTCAGGGAAAAATGATATATTCTCTTATAAAACGGGTAATAAAAATAAAACTCTCAATTAAAAATATTAATATTTTTAAGACCTTTTTTTTAGTGTAAGAACTATTTAAAAAGCTTGTGCCGTTTTGGAGAAATTTTGCAAAATATGACAAAGATTTCTTTGGGGATTTTTTTTAATAAGGGGTTGACAAAAATACAATTTTGTTAAATTAAAAACATTTAACAAATCTTCTTCTGTTACCTTGTATTTTTTCTTTGTGGATTAAATGAACAGTTATTGAGATTTTTTTACTTAAATATCCTAGATTTAGGCATTTCAACCACTGTTAAGGCCTTAATTCACATTAACAAATTAACAAAGAAATTATTATAATGTTTTATTATTAAATTCGGCGTGTTAACTACTAGTAGTTTATTATAATTGTTTGGCATTGAATACAATTTTGATTTATATATTTTTAGTTAATAAAAATAAACACAGGCAAATAAAAGTCTCTAGATACGGACAAGTTAGTTTTGCACTGTTGAAATGATTTAATCCATTAATAATTGAGATATTCTTAATACAAAATGGTTCACCGAACAATCTTAAGTAATAAGAATAATCGCTAAGTTGTGCTCGCTAAATGGTGGTAATTTCTGGAGACTAAGACCAGCGTAAATGCTCTGAACACCAATCAGCTGAAGCACGAGCTGGGCCAGTACGAAAGTTCCACCTTTTGAACTACTGCCTCCTGTCAGTGCCATTGTTGCTTTCTGCTGTGTACGGGATCAACTACGTGTTCCTGGCTGCTAATGTACCATGCAGGTGATATATTATAATTACGTAAAAATTAAGCTATAACATTTATTTATACTTTCCCATTGCAAATTTAAGCGACAGTGACCCAATGGCAAGTTGCGGACCACGAACTTGAAAGGTACTGGGTTCGAATCCGCCATTCGACTTTTCACTTCTTACACAAGCATTTTAAGCTTACCAGGAATGATTAAAGGGAACATTAGTGATTTCTGGTCATTACACACTAATTAATTAATGAAGTTTTGCTCGATTTTCTGTGCGTGATAGAATTCGTAAGCAATGAAGATCTCATGATATACATACGAGATAGATTATAATATAGTTGGCACAAATCCATTCTGCACCTGTGTAATGGTTGTAGCACGAATGGGTCGGCTCAACCGGGGAAGGACCACGCTCTCACAGTAAACAGCAGCCTAATGATTTTGTTTCGTATGGTGAGTTTGGATAACGGAAGACCCTTTTTACTGGAAACGAGGCATTCCATCTTAGTCCTCAGTGGTGACAGCGCATCTACATTTTGATTGTTAATCGAGAATAGACGTAAATATCTATGAATACTTGCCAACAGGTGGACTGTGTGCTTATTTGGCACATTTCTTCTATAAAAAAATAACAACATAAAGGAATAGAGATCTGAATAGCAGTGAGCATTTGCTTAAATTATAGAATTTATAGAAATGTACAACGTTCTTGCAACTGTTATGTAGGTTGATCCTAGTCAGATCTGTACTTCTTTATCAGCGTACCTGACAACTTCGAACATTGTTTGTACTGTGATAATCACACCTCTACACATTTATAATTTTGATGGGATATCATTAATTTATGAAAGAAGTTTTAGTCTTTTATTATAATCTAAGTAAATACTTGACTTCTAACGTTTTTCCTTGTTTTTACGCTGTCTTTCTATTTAATTTGAACTATGAGAATTAAGTATAGTACAAATTGGCATTAATTTTTTCGTAACCGAAGCAATAATTTATTGTTTTCAAATTTATTTCTTTGTATACGCCTGATAGAATAAACTCTAAATTTGACATCTACCTTGATTTCGGTTTTTTATGAGTGAGTGAGTTATAAAAAATGGCACTTTTTAAACCCAAATAACTCAACAACTACAATAATATTATGCTCTTTCATGAAATTCGAGATTCTAGGTATTCAAGAAGTCTTTATTAGGTGTGCAAATGTAAGCAAGTAAGTCTAAACGTTTACAAGTTGAGGGGGTTTCGAATGGGGCTCAAAATGGTTCATAAGACACACATTGAAGTAATATGTAGCTCAAAGTATACACACTGCACTTTTCTTTTCCGAACATGGCCGACACAATGTCTAGATAAATAACGAACAAGTTTATTTATTCAATACATCTAGATTTAATAAGAGAAATTTAAAGATCTGTGGTTGGTTTCTTCTTGCTGAGCTGTTCTGCTTCCTCAATTGTGTCCGGTAGTTTGGTGCCGAGTGTCTCTGGCGTTGTAAATATCAAAAGTCCGGATAGAAGAGCGAAACTTCCAAAGAGGACAGAAGGCAAACTCGTCCATATTTCTAGCGCCTGAAATTCACGATACGAAGAATTATTTAAAAGTAATATTGATGTTTTAAATCTAGGTGAAATTACTCCATATGCTAAAGGTAGCATCATATGCTACCGTTTTAGATTTGTTTCTGCACACATAAATGTTTACAGCTTATTTGAGCTTCTCATGTGAGCAATATCAAAGTGAATGAACTACGGATAGGGCTATGCAGCAAAACAAGATTAACTGACAAAGTCCAACGGTTCCGTTCTACTGAAACTGTCACCGATAGAAAAGGAAAAGTCTAGAACAGCAGTCATGTCCGTCTCCCTATCACTAGACTATTGTAGGATTTTCTGTTAGTAGATAGAAAGAAAATTTAGGAAGTAGATGGAGTAAAGATTTTACAGGAGGAGCTAAAAGATGTAGGTGGCTTAGGCCTATAGCTTGTGGCTGTTTTTGGGGGTACCTAATTTCAGCAGTAAGATTATCCACTACCCCATATCGTTTCGTGGGTATCGTAAGATGGGTCGGAGAGAAACTGAAACAGGAGATAGGCAGCAGCATCTATCTGATAAAATAACTGTGGGCGTCAACCTGCCTGTCTGCAATTGAGGAAGGGCGGGAGGTGCTCTTCAAACTAAGTAAGACACATAATTTTATCTTATTACATAATAAAATGCCTGATTCTATTAATTAACTATGAACTATATAAGGAAATCTATGGATAGGTCTATGTTCGTGGACGTTTATAAGCTGTAATGGAATTGATAGATAGAAAAAGAGAACACTTACAAGAGCCGGTGTCAACGGCGCAGTAATAGATCCAAGGCGGCCCACCATGGAGGAGAAGGCGAACAGACTGTGACGGTACTTGGTGGGGTAGAGCTCCGCCGTGTACACGTACACCGACGTCAACACCATAGCGATACTGTACTTGCCTATCAGATATAATGCCAATGATAGACCTTCGTTACCTAAAAAATTAATCAGAATTGTATGCACGTGTGAATTGTGTGAAATAGTAATGCTTTTTCATAGAAAAAGAGTGAAAAACGCGCACACAGTCCTCCTGATGGTAAGTGGATGTTGTGGCCCATAGACATCTACATCAATGCATTTTAACAATTGTATGTAAACGGCAGCTCAACGGATTAGTAAGTTAAAGTGACAATAGGCCATATAGCTCGAAAAACCGACAACCGAAGGAGAGAAAAGATTCTCGAGTGGCAGCCTCGTACGTGTAAGCGAAGTATTGGGCCCTCCACTAGATGGAGTGATGACCATGGTTCATAGCAGGGGGGGGGGGCGCTTTGTTCAGCAGCGGATTTAAGGACTGTGAGCTGAGCTATATTAGTTATTATGAAATATGCTATTTATTATTACGTACCTTCAGGCATAAAGGCGAATGCAAACTGACAAGCAGCGCAAAGCCAATAGCCGATGATGAGCACCGGCTTTCTTCCAATGCGATCAAGCAGAAGTATAGCCGTCCAGTATCCAGGGATTTCAATAGCTGTGACAGCCACATAGTTGAGGTACTGGTTCCCAGACAAGTTGACGGCATTGATCGACATACCATAATACACCAATGTATTTGTTACCCACCAGATTGGAGAAACAACGCATCTGAATAAAATAGCACGAGATCTAAAAACTAAAATCGGCAGCCAAGGCTCTTTCGGTTTTTCAACAAGCTTATCCGCATCGGCCGTCGATCTGAAGTACTGTAATGACTTTTCAGAAAGTTTTTTCTTATTTGTTTTGGCCACTTTCTTGAGAATTGCTTCAGACTCTTCATATCTTCCTTTGCTCATAAGCCAACGGACTGATTCAGACAGGATCCAGAAATAAGATACGACTAGCAGTTGTGGAACATAAAGAACTTGTGTAAGTGTTCTCCACGGTTGAACTCCCCATGCTATGAAACCAAGGATTACTTGTCCAAGGGCAAACATCGTTGACATCGTTGCTCCAGCTATCACTCGGTATTTTGGCCCCACTAGCTCCGTGACTAAAGAAGAACAATTATTTGATAATTTTAAAACTGTTTTAAATTACATGTATTTACATGGACTTTCACAGACAGTAATGGATGACTGTCTGTGAAAGTCCACTACTGAAGATACGCCTCCCCTAAAGATTGGCTCATATTGGCTTATGCAGGCGAGTTGGAAACCACAGCTTATTATTATTATTTTGAGTTGTTATGAGGAAGCTGTTCCCCCTTTTTTCAGTTTCCCTCTGTCGCCTCTTACGTCTACTACGTCGTCGGTATCCGTACTGAGCGGATCTGTCTGTGCACTCTCGTGACCACGTGTAATAATTTTTAGTTAATTTTGGTGTCTTGCGAATATTTAGTGTCAACTGTTGACTCTTATAACTATTATTCTACTTTTAACTAGTATTCTACTTTTTGTGTTTATTGTTGTAAATGGATTATTTACTGTAAGTACTTTTATCATATTTAGTGTTATTTACTCCTCGTGAATCATTGGCCAGGACTCCGCCGGGTCTTCTTCGCCAGCCAGCCACGTTGCTCTCCCCCCCTCCCACCAGTAGCGCCAGAGAAGCGCCTCTGCCGTCAACAGAAGAGCCGCAGCCATTTTCCCAGCGGCCGAAGGGTGGGCAAGTGCACTGAGCCTCGTCGGATAGCACGTGTGTATTAAATGTGACCCCGGTGGCAGGTTTGCTGACCAGAGATGTGGAGGAGTCTGCTCCAGAATTGGAAAATGAGGACTGCCCAAGGGAGGGATCCCGAGGTGCGAGGGGGAGCTTTAAAGCTTCCACCGCGTCCAAGTTGGAGGTCATCGATTCAGGTCTAAGCTGAAAAAGTCGAAGGTGAACAAAGTAGCTGCATACAGCCACGACCTCATTGCCATGGTGGAAACTATGGGGGTCCATATCTCCAAACTGAAAATAGCAAGATTATGAGCTAAAAAGGGGAAACTTGCGAGCGGAAGAAAGACTGGCGCAGGTCGATGCTGGAGTTGTTCCTTGCTATGCGACGGACCCAGCACCGCAATGGTCGTACTCGGCGGCACTGAGGTTACCAAAGGGGGCAGATCAGGTTCTGATGTCTGTTAGCGAATGACCACTCGTCACCTTTTACCCAACAGAAACCGAAGAACCAATCAAGTCTGTAGAAGATACCAAAATGGAGCTGAAGGAGGCTGTCAACCCCAAGTCTAGCGATCTGTAGATTGATAAGCTGAGGACAGTGGTAAATGCAGGTGTCGTGGTCCAGACCACGTCCCAGGAGGCGGCTCAGTAGCTGAAAACTGCGGCTCCTCCATCTTTAATGGTGTCTGAGCAAAGGCAGCTCTTCCCCTGGTTGCTCTCATGGGTTTTGAAGAGAACCCCGAAAATGATGACTTGATAAGCGGCCTGTACAAGCAGAATCTTGCTGCTTTTGGCTGGAGCGAGTAAAAGTTAAAGAGAACTGCAAAGTAGCATTTAAGATTGGAGAGGAAGCAGGCGGACTACAACCATCCTTCAGTGCTCGGCCGCCTTAAGGTACGTGCTGGTAGGGCATAATTGTTTCTACGTCGGCTGGGACGTGATGACTATGTGATTACGTAGATGTCACGTGCTGCCAGAGGTACCAACAGTATGGGCATCCAGCTAAATATTGCCGATCTAAGGAGACCGTATGTGGAAAGTGTGGGGAGATGGGGCATGAACGTGGGGCTAATAAGCTTGTAAAGCAACAGTAGACAATTGGGCTACATGTAAGCGTTTTAGCCGGCCCTTACTCTGGCAGAGCGACGCTCCGTGGCTACCACCCAATATTGCCGATAAGGGCGCCCCTGCTGAAAAACAAGATTGGACAATTAAAATGGGGCAGATTAACCTGGGTCGATGGGGCGCTTGGGAAAAAGCCACGTGCAAGTAGAGCGCGCATCTCCCGAGATTCGGCCCGTATGACCTGAAGGTCGGTAGTGCTATGGAAGGTGGAGGGTTGTCGCCTCTTACGATAACCACGGAAAGATATTGGGTAGAAGATATTAATTCTTCACTGATAATTACATTTATATAAATTAAGATATTATTAACTCAAAGAACCGACAACCTATGGGGAAAAAAAGGTTCTTGACTGGCAGCCTCGTACCGGTAGACGAAGTGTAGGGCGACCCCCCACTAGATGGAGTGACGACCTGTTAAGTCATGTAGGAAGTCGATGGATGCAGGTGGCTCAGGACCGTGCTTTGTGGCATCCCAAGGGATGCCACAAAGCACTATGCCCTATGTTCAGCAGTGGCCTTGTGAAAGGCTGTAATGATGATGATGATGAAATTAAGACAGTACAGTAAAATGTGAAGAGGAGTAATTAGTATTTATATATAATAATTTCTTATGTTTACGCGAACACTACACATTTAAATAAAAATAGTTTTTACAGATTTTATCGCATGTACATATTAACTTATTTTATATTCCCGATTTTTAAGTTCGAGCACTTTACAGCACCTATGGTCACGGAGGGGAAATAATTTCTTATGTTTACGCGAACACTACACATTTAAATAAAAATAGTTTTTACAGATTTTATCGCATGTACATATTAACTTATTTTATATTCCCGATTTTTAAGTTCGAGCACTTTACAGCACCTATGGTCACGGAGGGGAAATTGTGCTCGACGTCCTAATGTCATAGTTAACCACGGCTACCTTCAGATTAAAATTATTGATGTTCGGTCCGATCTACGCAGTATGAATTTGTAGTATCTTGAAGTCCTGCCGTTGTATGGTTGGTTTGGGATTTAATTTTATTATTTATAGGATTCCAAGCGGATGGTAGCACCCAGCCATCTTTTTTTTTGAAATAAGAGGACGTTTTCTGATTTCAATAGACTCGCGAATCGTCCTTGGAAGGTGTTACGGCGTGCAGCTGCCTATCCAAGAGTAAGATCCTCCCAGCCCATGAAGGAAAAACCTACAGGCAGATGCAGGTCGGGCCTCCTAAGGCCAAAGTGGAAGGTCTCTAATTACAATAAACAATAAGGGGGAAAGCCAGTTAACGGGAAGGCACTTACCTGCTTCTGGAGCGGAAACGATTCACCAGGATCTGCCCGGTTGATGAAAGTGTAGTGAATGTATGTGTTATTTGTATGAAACTGTGTGTAAGTGGCCTGGGCTAGATGACACAATACTGTCCTAGAGAAGGTATCCTCTGGTAGCCCCGGAACTATTCCCTTCTTGAGGCACCCTTTCAGTCTTGTCACGTAATGGTACAGCCAAAAGAAGAACTTCAAAGGAAAATCACTATCGGAGTTGCACAATTAATTTAACAGAAGTTAATAAGTCTTTAAAGAACAATACGTGTTCTCGTCGACGCAACGATTTAAGCGGGTTTTATACGTTCTTAACAAATTAGGCGCTAAACACTAAGACGTCAGTATCGATCGCAAAAACTTTACAATGAATCTCGAGAAGTCCGTCCGATACCGCCCGTGGAATGCGACCGGGCGGGGGGCGGGTGACGTTCTACCGGTGCTATGCTTCGAACGTACTTTTAAAAAATTCACGTATCAAATGTTTAATATTTTTGCCTAAACAGAAGGAATCGGTGTTCTTTAGCGAGGATTTGTGGTGCATCAAATCTGATGTAGTAACGGGGGCGCACTACAAAATTTAACAACAACGAACATCATGTTCAATAGTTTTATATAAGGTACTACTAACATAAGGTTGTTAAGAATGCGCCAGTTTTCACACTCAAAATATTTATTCATACCACTGAAATTGGCAAGCTCGTTCATTAGAGCAAAGCCAACATGATAAAGCGGATACGTTAGCACTCTGTGTGTGGGAACTGAGAACAGTCATCACTCGATTGCTAAAACCTCGTCCGTCAATCAATTGGATGAACCCGGCCTAATAAGAAGCGCGCACTTTCCCTATCCCTATTTTTAATAAGGTAATAAAAATAATGTCTTATAGATCGAAAATCTTGGCGGCCAGTCTCAACGGAGACTTCCTATCTGCGCAAGACAGTATTATAATCCTTATAGTGCACAAGTATTGCATTTCCTATTCTATCACTCTCAAGGTAGGTACGGTAGCGAATCCTTTATAGAAGCCGAGAAGCCGGGCTTGCCCTGTGAAACTTTTCAATCAATAATATCAACTAATAAAATAACTCAAATTTCCCGCGTGCTCTCTCCACGCAATGGACGGTCAAAATTAATCGTCGCGGCAAAACTGCGCGATGCTGCTGTCATAAAAATGGAGTTAAGTTGAGCGATTAGTCGTCTCTCTCGCACGCGTGGGCTTTTTACCGGGCTTTCGAGAAGACAATCGCTCCTTTTCTAACCTGTGGCAAAATGTTCTATAATGAAATATAACTACGATTGTTTATATAGCAATTAGTGTGGAGCGATAAGCCTGGCTTTATGTATGAAGTCTCTAGTATAAATACAGTAATCTATGGTATGAAGTTAGTCGAGCGCAAGGGCGCGCGAGCGATGCGTTATTACATTTGCAACTTCACTTCGCATTTCAATGTTTACTTTGTGTGTTTACTTTAATGCTTTTTTAAAGATTTTTAGTGGAAATGGAGGATAATAGTGTTCCTTGTGATGAATTGAAGTGTGTTAAAATGCTAATCGGCGAGGGAAAAGTAAAATCTTTAAACCACTTTAAACTTTGTATAGAAAAACAGCTCATATACATAAACAGTTATTGGTACAATTAAAACGTTCATCAACATTTTACGCAGACGTAATTAAATCTTTTCTTAAGAAAGAGAGACGATCCGATTTCGAATATAAATCATTTGGGTACGATTTTCCATTGACGTCCGTCGAGTTTGGTGTTGATACGTATTTTTACAGAAAGATTACATTTTTATAAGTTTCAATATGCGGAAATATGTACTTTTTGAGAGAAAAGTATTGAAAATCAAATATTTTTGCAATATTTATGTCAATTCCTACCTACTATGAAACTGTTAAATAAAAGAAAACAAATTTCAATAAGAGATCATTTATCATGGTATCTTTCTTGTTTTTCATAAAATGGGTTTATATTTACATTATAAATAGAAACATAAAAAAATATAGATATTTTAGAAATCGGTTTTTTGTGAACTAGTACATCAGCTTACGATTTGAATCGATTTAAAATCGACCTTTTTCGGAAATAATGGACATCCCTATTGACGTCGACATTGACATTACAAAATGGCGCCAGTTTTACGGTAGGATTAGACATAAACATTGCAAGAATAATTGATTTTCAATAACTATTTTCTCAAAAATTACGCGTTTTCGCGTGTTTAAACTTTGTGTGTGTGCTTATAATAGTGTTACTTTTCTGTAAAAGTGCATATCAACACCCAACTGAACTGACGTCAATGAAAAGCTAAGCCATCATTTGTTTTTTCTTTTTAATTTTGTACATAGTTTGTTTGTACTTTGTTCATGCTTTTCTTTTGTTTATGTATTGTATTGTATGTAAATATCTTTTTCTTTTGCTCAAGCAAACCCAAACGGCTTTTTTCAAAGCCACCGAAGGTATGCAACTGCTGATATGTCATACAATCTATCTAGCAATAGTATGCCTTCTGTGTGCTGTGTTAAACACGTTCTCGACAGCACTGAATATGAAAATTAAGAGTGGAGACAGATACAAGATTGGTGTATTTTTAAAAAACTGCTAAAAACAACAAAACCATATCTTGGGCTTGCCCTAGTTTGGAGTCCTAGCTTCGCCACCCAGTGGCAGGTATAGTAAAAACGGCTTTACTTACTGTCCAAGGCACGGGGAGTAAAACACCGCCCACTTTGATTTGCTACTGATTATTCCTTTGACGGAAAAACCCAATAACTCATTTTGTAGCTCGTTTGAAATTCGAACCCGGGATCTCATAATCAACAGTCGCGCTTAAGACCTCTAAACCAACGAGGCCGTAACTTTTTATATAATAAGAATTATTATTCGTCGTAATTAAATGCATTTAAGAAGTGTAGGACACACTAAACCTACGAGGGAGTCTATGCTACATACTCACCTAATATATAACAAGATGAGTAGGCACCAGATCCTACGGTAGACTCGATAACCTCGAGCGCAAGAAACCATTCGTAGGAGTTGACAAAGGAGCGGACGAGGCCGATCCAGCCCGTATTGAAAGCGTTGATGGTGAGGGCCACGCGGCGGCCCCAGCGATCTGAGATGTAGCCGGTGATTGGCAGCACCAGCAGAGTACCGATAGTGCGTATAGAGCCGATCTGAGAGCGTCGCCATTCATCACAGGCCATGTTGAACTGGAATCGTATAAACGAAACAAATTTTAGGGATTATATCGCTTTTGGTTAGACTTTTTAATTATCGACGTTTCGGGTGCTTTACAGCACCTATATTCACGGTGGGGACTGAGATGTTTGACATCTCGATGTCATAGCTAGCCCGGCTACCTTCAGTTTTCGAAATGTTGGGAATTAAAAATTTAAATTAAGGCGATAGAATCCGTAAAAAATATTTTCATTTAATCGTATATTTAAGCTTATAAATCACGTCTTTTAGGGTGGAAATTGGACTGCCAATATAACCAAATAAATAGTTAAAATTTTGCTGATACAGGAAAGTTTGAAATGAATAACGTTTTTTTTTCTTTTATAGAAGTGCTGGTAAACGAGCGTGCGGATGAGCCGCATGCTCGTTTGCCAAGAAAAGAGCTTACTCCTTTTAGCTGCAGTTGCAGTTGTTCATAGGCGACGGTAGTCGTTTACCACCAGGTGAGCCGTATGCTCTTTTTTATGGAAGAGGGGCAAACGAGCATGCAGCTCACCTGATGGAAAGTGTCGACCGCAGCCCACGAACTTCTGCAACACTAATGGAATTGCATTGCGTGCGTTGTCGGTCTTTTAAAAAGGAGTAAACTCATTTCTTATAAGTCCCTAAGTCATATCGGACCGAAAAAAAATTAAAAAAACGTATCTCTAGTGGTAAAAGATTCCACATAGATAGTCATCCGAGGAAGAAAACTCCTAATAAATTACATACTGGCAGACCGCCAAGCATCCAGATGGTGGTGTGGTATTAGAAATTTGTCGTGATGTGCATAGGTAGAATTCATTAATTCATTCGAACATTTCCTTTGAGCACATCACGTGGTAAATGCGATACAAAATTTAATTTTGTATTTTCTGAGCAGCATCGGTACAGGTTTCACTATAGTATTTACACAGTTACATTCTCGCACTATAATTTTATCTCTGTACACGCTTTCATTTTGCCGATGCAGAAGGGTTTCAAATTAAAAAAGGATTTTTTATAATTATAGAGTAGAATCAAAACAGGCTTCACTATACTAACGTTGAATATACTTTACTTGTCCTCGCTTGCCGATTCTATAACTCACCACCACGCTCACACAGAATACCAGCGTAAAACAGCAGCTTAATGCTGTTGTGTTTCGTATGGTGAGTGTCTCTACACTTAAAAAATACATAAATTATTTACGTAGAGTATTATACATGGAAAGGCCACGCTGCAGTACGAATAGATTGGCTCTAGATATTTCATTTATAGAATAAGGGAGACAAACAAGTCCACAGTCCGACTATTGGTTAGTGGATGCTGTCACATAGACATATTCTATCTATCCTCGAGAATCAATATCTTTTGATATTCCTGACTACGACCCCTTTACCAACTGGAGACCCTTTTTACTGGAAACGAGTCCTTCCATCTCAGTCCTCAGGGATGACAACGCATCTGCATTTTGATTCTTAAATGTAGATATTTATGGTTCACAATCTACTTACCATCAGGTGGACTGTGTGGTCGTTTATCACCATTAATCTTTTATTTCTTTTTAGCTTTCGTCAGAAAAATCTTATGGCTTTTGAGAAATGGTGATATAATTATCTCGTCCACGCTAGACGTAAAATACCCAGGTCAGTGACGGGCAGTTGCGAGATGAGTGGTGTTTTGAACATTTGTCCCCCAGCCAAGCCTGACGATCAAGGCAAATATTTTACGGGTTGTTGATGAAACAGAAAAAGAAGACCTTACATCATAAACAATAGTATTTGTGTTTTCGTATACGTAGTCCTGACAGCTCTCTGTACGAGAGGTGTCGAACCAGGCAGCAGGGCACACGCCGCTCACGTCAGTACCCTGGGTACTGTTGACATAGCGCTCGCAGTTCTCGAAACTGTCGATACTCGTGCCAGGGATCGCGTTCAGCACCCAGGAAGGGGCGTACTCCGGATTGGGGCCATCGCATTGCGGAATCAAACACCTGAACGAAGAAAAAAATTATCAGTCGTCCATTTTTTACCGGCGGGTATGTGAGGTTGACAGCGTCAAACAGCAGCTTAACACTGCTGTGTTTCGTATGGTGAGTGTAGAGAACGGGAGACCCTTTTTACTGGAAACGAGGCATTGTCCTCACGGGTGGCAACGAATCTGCATGCGCAAACGAGGATAAATGTAGATGTCTATGGGCCACAGCAACCACTTACCATCAGGTGGACTGTGTGCTCGCTTGTCTACTATAAAAAAAATTCTAATAGAAATATATAAAATGTTTTGACAATAAATTACCTAGTAGGAATTCTAGCTATCGTGAAGATATACTCTCCCGAGGCGAACGCAGAGAAGATCACAGGGAAGGCAGCAAGCAGAAGCGTCACGATCTGGTACCGTCCAAACTGGCCCACCTCTTCAATGAGGATCTGGTCCAGATCCACACCCTGCCTCCCGTCCTGCGATTCTACTTTCGCACTTGACATATTTTTAGCATAGATATTAGCATATACACTAGTGTTGCAACATGGCCACTTATAAAGTAGTTAAATTGGATTTAATTTTTCGGTCTCATTATCTACATAACAAGAAATGACGAATTAGATTACACTCAGGAAGCTTATCTTATGATTATTTCGCGGTCTTAACAGTGATTCCACATAACACGCTGTGCCTGCGGCGCGTTACCACCCTGAAACGTTTGGCCGCATTAAATGTGAAACAGTCGGTTCAAGACAACGCAGCGGCGGTATAGCTAGCTCCCTTTACTTATCTATGATGAAATGTTTTCCTTTTTATTTTGGTTACAAAATACAATTACTACACTTCCTTACATGTGTTATAAGACAAACATTTAAAAAATTGTATTCTGATATACAGTATCTAACAAATAGCCCGGTGATTCTTTTAGGGAGGTATAAATGTATATATAGGCATTGAAATTTTTTGTTCGTTATTAAAGGGATTTAAGTCGCCGTGTTCGATTTGCCGACGATATAGTCCTTATGGCAGAATCGCTGGAGGACCTAAGCACTATGCTCAATGACCTCAATAGTGTTTCCCAACGGATAGGTCTTAAGATGAACATGGACAAAACAAAGGTCCTGTTTAATGTCCATGTCACACCTATGCCGGTAGTTGTTGGGAACACTAAGCTCGAAGTTGTTGACGAGTATGTTTACCTGGGACAAATAGTCCGACTAGGTAAGTCCAACTTCGACCGAGAGGTCAATCGACGGATTCAACTCGGTTGGGCAGCGTTCGGAAAATTACGACACATCTTCTCGTCAGGTATACCTCAAAACTTGAAAACGAGACTGTACACCCAGTGCGTGTTGCCAGTGATGACATACGGAACTGAGACGTGGTCCTTCACTGCTGGCCGGATGAGGAAGCTCAAGGTCGCTCAGCGAGCTATGGAGAGGGCTATGCTCGGAGTTTCTCTGCGTGATAAACTTAGGAATGAAGATATCCGCAGTAGAACCAGAGTAACCGACATAGCCCAACGGATTAGTAAGCTGAAGTGGCAATGGGCCGGCCATATAGCTCGAAGAACCGACAACCGTTGGGGAAGAAAGGTTCTCGAGTGGCAGCCTCGTACCGGTAGGCAAAGTGTAAGGCGTCCCCCCACGAGATGGAGTGACGACCTGGTAAGACATGCAGGAAGTCGATGGATGCAGGTGGCTCAGGACCGTGCTTTGTGGCATTCTTTGGGGGAGGCCTATGTTCAGCAGTGGACTTGTGAAGGGCTGTAATGATGATGATGATAGGTAACATACTAAATTCTTCATAAATGAGGGTAAATCTGTAATCTCCCACTTGTTTTTGCAGTATAAAGCATCGCGCAGGCGACTAAGATGGGTGGGTCGGTTCTCCAGTATTATATATTAGTCTATGGGGTCGGTCAGGCCGCAGACTCACTGTGGTTTTTATGCCTGTTAAGATAATACATTAACTCCATACTAACATTCAGGCTAATAATATTTAGTAGAATAACAGTATCGTGGTTCTGTTCGTTGTAATAATTCTTCTAGTATAGGCAAGGAAGATCGTGTTGCCGAGAGGCTGTTAACAGAGGTGTAATGTAACCAGTAACCATTGTTATGGGTAGTGTTGATAAAAATTCCGTATAACAAAACGCATATATTACTAGTCAGGTCATAAGTAATGTCACACAGTAAAAACTTTTCTTTTAGAATGCTGGGCACAAAACTATACTTTTTAGAATTTTACTCATTTTTAAACATGGAGTGGACGCTTAAAGAAGACCGTGTTGCAGTTATTGCGTTGCATCGTTGCGGTTACGCACCAATTCAAATTTTTGACATACTGAAAAATTTGAATATAACCAAAAGATTCGTTTATCGTACCATCAAACGATACAATTAAGACTCTAGTGTAGATGACAGGTCAAGAAGTGATCGCCCTCGGTCTGTTAGGACTCCAGCAGTGATAAAAGCTGTGAAGGCGCGAATTCAAAGAAATCCCAAACATAAGCAGAAACTGTTGGCCCTTCAGATGGGGTTAAGCAGAACCACGGTGAAAAGGGTGTTAAATGAAGACTTAGGGCTTCGGGCATATCGCAGAAAAACAGGACATCGTTTGAATGCTCGTCTAATGGACCTGAGACTGAAGAGATGCCGCGCTTTGTTGAAGCGGTACGCGGGAAAAAAATATCGGGAAATTCTTTTTTGGATGAAAACATTTTTACTGTAGAAGAGAGCTACAACAAACAAAATGATAAGGTGTATGCACACAGTAGTGAAGAAGCTAGCAACCGTATTCCGCGTGTCCAACGAGGTCATTTTCTATCCTCGCTCATGGTATGGTTGGGAGTTTCTTATTGGGGCTTAACAGAGGTACATTTTTGTGAGAAAGGTGTAAAAACGAATGCAGTTGTGTATCAAAATACAGTCCTGACTAACCTTCTGGAACCTGTTTCTCATACCATGTTCAATAACAGGCACTGGGTATTTCAATAAGATTCGGCGCCAGCTCATAGAGCGAAGAGCACACAAGACTGGCTGGCGGCGCGTGTAATCGACTTCATCCGGCACGAAGACTGGTCCTCCCTCCTCCAGTCCAGATTTGAATCCGTTAGATTACAGGATATGGCAACATTTGGAGGAAAAGGCGTGCTCAAAGCCTCATCCCAATTTGGAGTCACTCAAGACATCCTTGATTAAGGCAGCCGCAGATATTGACATGGACCTCGTTCCTGCTGCGATAGACGACTGGCCGCGCAGATTGAAGGCCTGTATTCAAAATCACGGAGCTCATTTTGAATAAACTTTAGTGTCATAAGAATCTATGTTTGGTAAGTTCATTTTGGTATATAAATGGTTACATAATGAATAAACTTGTTTCAATTATTTTATATTAAACAGGTGCTGGTGCCGTCATATATATATATATATATATATATATATATATATATATATATATATATATAGCTAGACATAATTCTTATAAATAATACGTGTTCCGCACACCTGCACCATTGCAACTGCGGTGGCGCTCGTTTAGCTTGTATAAAACGGACGGAGCTGCCGCCGTTAGGGCAGTCTTGGCTCTGACGTGGAACGGTACGCTTGTCGTATTCCGTAACTAGTTTATCCTTGACTCGTTGGATAGTTAATTCGTGTAAAAGAAATATATTATTATTCCTAACTACAAAATTAGTCTCTGTATTATACCCACTATACTTCCTACATATATATATATATATGCATGTAAAATATTTTTGCTTCCTTATTTTTTTTTATTTCTATTTAAAGTTCACTTATCTTTGTCTTTATTACATTACCCTAGACTTCGATGAGTTATGTAAAATGTGGCTTTATTAGCTAGCTGTTTTATAAAGTAAGATGTAATTTATTAGGAATTCATCGGATAATATAACGGAAGACAATCACAAAGTGACACCAGTTTTAAAAATAAGTAAGAAAGAAGAGGTTTCGTTTTTATGTTTTCGATGTGATGGTTCCACGTGGAATTCCTAATATGATCCGGAAAAATTCCGTGGAATGTCAATTTGTAAGCCAAGGTATTTTTATGGCTTTTCATTTCTAAGGGAGTATCATTTATTGTAAGTGAAAAGTGGGGAATGAATTTACTTTGGCCTTAAATAAAATGTAACAAGTTTTTGAAAAGTTAATGTTTACCAAGTTATACTGAAACCACTCGTATAGGATGTTTAAATTGTCTTGAATCAGTGACATTATGTCGTGTATTAGTGAACCAAAATAAAATAGCCAGGTATCATCGGCGTAAAGGGTAATATGGACATTTTAAGCTCATGTATGTTGTTAATATAGGTCAAAAAGAGCAACGGGCCTAAAAATGATCCTTGAGGAATTTCACAAGTTATTGGTAATTCATTACTTTGAATATTGCCTGTTTTCAATATTCGTGATCTATTTTCTAGGTAGGATTCAAACATGTTGAAAACTTTGCTGGTAATATCGATTTTCTCTAACTTATTTATAAGCAATTTATAGCTGACCGTATCGAACGACTTTTTCAGATCTATGAATATACCTAGGACTATATTAGTAATTACCTGGATCAGATGGTTAAAAAAGTAATTAAATATAATAATATAATAGTAATATAATTTATTTTCTCACCACATGAAATTAACAAAATCGATTTATGACAAAAAGGAAAAGGCACAAAGTAATGTGAGAGACTGATGCCCAAACTAGGCGACGAACCTGTATTTCAGGTCATTACATATTTTAATAACCATGATACGTTATAATTCATTTACTTGTGGTAAGTATTATTATAAGTAAATATTTAATAAATTTAATTTGGTGGATGTTTGTGTGTGTGTGTGTGTGCGTGTGTGTGTGTGTGTGTGTGTGTGTGTGTGTGTGTGTGTGTGAGTGTTTGCGTGTGTGTGTTTGCGTGTGTGTGTGTGCGTGTGTGTGTTTGCATGTGTGTGTGAATGCGAAAATTACAACATTTACTCAAGTGTTTTAAAGAGATCTTCTGTATATTTATAGTCCCTTTTCAGTAACCATTCATGGACACATTTTTTTTCTTTTATTTTAGGTAGGGCGTGGATATTAAGTTCCTTGTTAACTTTATTATACAGGTATCCGCCAAGATAGCAAAAAATCTCCTAGAAAAGTAGGTACAATGGTCATAATGAGACGTACATACCCGGTCTTTGCGTCTCGTGTGCTGTGAATTTTTTTTTTAAATAAAACGATTTCGTAACAAAAGTTTATATGTGTTATAATCAATTTAGCCGTTCAAGCTGCAGACCGAGCCAAGGAAACAGACATTCATACATACACACTTTAAAAACATGAACCTCCTTCTGGGGCATTCGGGTAATAAAAATAAGCATTATTGAATTTTTGCGACGCGTATATGTAGTCACCGCAGAGAAATCGCACCGTCGTCGCCAACGCAGTGTGACTTCGTTCTAATTAGGACACTTCTGATATCTTATCGACTTCACTACACGACAAACAATACGCCTATAGTTTAGGTAAATCGACAGAATCAGCACTTCACCAGGTAATAACAAAGATTGAAGAGGCCATCCAAAACAAAGTAATATGTCTAGGTTTCTTCATAGATATAGAAGGTGCTTTTGACAGAACGAACTTCGCCAGCATATAAAGTGCACTCAGTAGACAAAAATTGATTAACTTGATAGTAAACATGCTCAGTACACGAACAATAAAGATTGCTGGTGAATCTCAAACAATCCAGATTAAGAAAGGCTGCCCACAGTGTGGGGTCCTTTCACCTCTCCTGTGGAATATGGTGATAAATGAACTCATCAGCAAATTAAATGCCAATAATTTCTACACAGTAGGTTATGCTGATGACTTGACAATACTGGTCTCTGGAAAGACAGCAAGCATGGTGTGTGATCTGACCCAAGCGGCTCTTCGTATAATGGAGAGATTCTGAGATTTTGTACAGTGGTAGAGCCACGCGGCAGCTTTTGCTGTCGCACGGATGGGCCGGCTCGAACCGGGGTGGTACCACGACCTCACAGAATACCAGCGTGAAGTAGAGTTTTACCTCTGCGTTTCGCTTGGTGAGTGCAGGTGACCGGAGGCCCTTTTTACTGGAAATGAGGCATTCCATCTTAGTCCTCACGGGTGGCAACGCATCTACATTTTGATTTGTAATAGATAGATGTAGATGTCTATGGGCCGCAGCAACCACTTACCATCAGGTGGACTGTGTGCTCGTTTGTCACCCTTATCCTATAAAAAAAAGATGGTAAATCCAAATAAAACGGTTCTAGTAATGTTCACATAAAAGCGAATGCTGAATAACTATTATCTCCCAAATCTTTTCAACACAAAACTCCAGCTATTCTCCGAGGTAAAATATTTAGGTCTCACCTTGGACAGTAAACTTAACTGTAATAAACACATAGAAAACAAAATCAACAAAGCTAGTTTAACTTTCTGGAAATGCAGAAACATGATTGGCAAAAGATGGGGTCTGACGCCAAAAATCATACTGTGGCTATATAAAATTGTAATTCGGCCCATGATCACATACGGCGCTCCGGTATGGTGGACCAAAACAAATGAAGCTACCACTATAAAGAAGCTTCAGTGTTAACAGAGACTGAGTGTATTACCGCCACAGGCTGCATAAGAACTACGCCAAAAGCAGCCTTAGACGCAATGCTGGAGCCAACCCCGCTTCATCTACATATACAACAAGAAGCAACTTTATCTGCCATTAGACTCAAGACCCTAACTCTTTGGAGTAAGAATAGAGTCCCTCATACAGGCATAATTGATAGAATTAAATGAAAATACAATTAAACCAGCCAGCCGAAGGGATTAAGCCCAAAAGAGCTTAGAGTCTTCACCGATGGTTCTAAAACAAATGAAAGTATAGGATCTGGAACTTTTTCTTAACACCTCAACATCCACATATGCACACCGCTGGGTACCTACAACACAGTCTTTCAGGCGGAATGTATGGGTATCATTCAAGAGGCCATAGCAATAGATGCTAGAAATGTTAATGACTTTTCCATCAGAATACTGACCGACAGTAGGGCGGTTCTACAAACCCTAAGCTGCAATGTGGTGAGCTCAAGACTAATATATGAATGCCACCAAAGATTAAATGAGGTATGTAAACACCACAATGTGACTCTGCAATTAATAAAGGGACACAGTAGATTCAGAAATAATGATGCAGCAGACGAACTGGCCAGAAGAGGATCAGCTCTGGCCACTATAGGTCCGAAACCAATTATACCAATCCCCTTTGGTAATGTTCGTTCACTGGTACGTAGACACTACACTAATCAACACACTCAACTTTGAAAAAATCTATTAGACTGTAGGTAAGCTAGGGAGGCGCTGCTTGATATAAACAGTCGTTTAACCAAGGTTCTAATATGACTGAACAAGCCGCAGATCAGGATGGTAACAAGTGCTATCACAGGACACGGCAACTTTAACAAAAATTTATTTACCATAGGTGTTACGGACAGTACAGTCCCCTGTGCAGGGCATGTATGGGGGAGGAAGAAACGGCGGCTCACGTATTTCTGACGTGTCTGGAAGTCGCTATATACAGGGACATTTCGGCACGCCGGGATCACTCCCCGAAGTTATTTGAACATCAAAGTACTGTTGAACTTTTTCGGGGAGATTTTATGGCTCGAATAAACACATTATTCCTGCCCACACGCAAAATAAGCGCTTAGATGTGAATTTGCGGAAAACAGTTGGTATATCCAGTTCAATTCAATCTTATCGACTTGCATCGGTTTCTTCTTACCTTTGATAAACATGTAATTTATTATATTACAAGATAATTATTGCTCACAATGATAAGAGAAATTTACATATCTAAATTATGACATCTGTCGTGTATAGTTCCTTGATACGATTATCAAGGAAAATGAAACAATAAAAAAATGATAAATTATATTTTAATCGTGAACACATAAGCTTAAAATCAACATTTTGCCATACTGTTTGGTTGAACCAATAACCGAGGAAGAAAAACATTTCATAATTTCTTCCTTGCCGTATGGACCATCCCTACTAGATGTAGTGATGATTAGTAGAGATATGCAGAGAGTCGTCCACGGACTCTTATAACAGGATATTTAGATATTCTGGGTCTCTAAATCGGTTGTCATGTATCAGTAAGCTAAACCGGAGGCGCATGGCATGTCATTTGCTGCCAGTCAAGCGTTTCTTTTTTATAGAATAAGGGTAACAAACTAGCACACTGTCCACCTGATGGTAAGTGAATGATTCAGTCCATAGAAATCTACATCTATCTTTGATTAAGAACCAAGATGCAGACGCGATATCATCCTTGAGAACAGAGGTGTAATGTCTCGTTTCCAAACAAAGGGACGACTTCTTTGTGAAATCATATATCACCGGCGATTTTTCCTGTCCTATGCAACTTAGAAACCTTCAAGAAACGAGCTTATTCTTCTTTTAAAGGCACCTGTAATTCCATTGGTGTTACAGTTGTTCATGGGCGTCGGTCGTCACTTACCATCAGGTGAGCTGATGCTAGCTTGCCCCCTTTTCTTTAAAGTATCTGTCAACCGTCTGTTTGGTGCGTGTTCTCACGCTAGTAATTGTCCGAGTTATTGCCAGACATCAGTGTCATTAGTATTAGTGGTCTGGCGGTCAGTAGTCCAGGTCGTGTGCGTCATACGGCTTGATGATGTCGAGGCGCTGTTGTCATGTCAATCGTTTTCTCTGTGTTTTGACGCTGTTGGTCATCAGTTTGTTGGTGGAAGTGGCCTGACGGTTAGTAGTCGAGGTCGTGTACGTCTCGCGGCTTGATGATGCCGAGGCGCGTGGCAAGCGCGGCTACGTGCGCGCGCACCTCCTCCTGCACAAGGTTGAAGGACATCGCCAGCAGCGCGATGCCGAACAGCAGGTACAGCGAGCACAGCGCGATCGAGTGCACAGCGTCTGCCGCCTCGCCGGTTTGCCCCTGCAACTTGTACAAGTCAGTGCTTGCTCCGCAAAAATCAAGTATCAGTAAATAAAATCAAGTACAGTGTCGAGAGCCAGAGACCCTTTTGTTATATTTATAATATTATTATGTATATAAGTTAGTTAACCTTATCAATAAAATGTTTTGGTATTGACATTTGGACCGGGATTGGCAGATATGCCGCACACAGAGCTAGTGGCTGAGAACCATCTATTACAACCCAAATATCTTTACGTTCGCTTTCCCAGTTCTGCATACGTTTCAAATTTAAGTGTTTAGAAATTGCAATCAGTACCAGACATTTATCTGTCTCTCCTATACATGGTTATTATTCAAAGAGTAACCAAACTTTAAAATTAAGTTCTAATATATAAGTAATAATATGCCGTTATTTCAGTTTCTGAAAATACGAGTAAGTAAGGCGCATTCAATTCTGAAGATTTTCTGCAAATTTGGCCGGTCATTTGTAAAATTAATCAAAGTGAGACTTATATGCCATACTTCATTAATTTAATATTATTAACAATGCCATGTCTATATATATATATATATATATATATATATATATATATATATATATATGTATATATATATATATATATATATATATATGAGGTAGTCTTATTTGTACGTCAAAACTTAAGTCTTTACAAAAAGCTAAATGTCCAGCGTCATAAAGATAAATTGAGCCATCCCAATAGTAACACTGTTTTGTTTAAAAAAAGCCTATTCTCCATGGGTCCTCGTCTGTATAAACATTTATCTAAATATGTAAGAGAGTCTAAGAGCCTTCACATTTTTAAGAAACATATTATAAACATATTGTTGACGATTATTTGTTTGACAATGTTTAAATTTTAACTAACAAATTTATTGAATGGAACCACAAAACTTTATCTATGTTATTAATTTTGTGACATAATAATTTACACACTTTTTGAAATTATTATTTTGACATTATACTTTTAATTATTACATTTATTATATTATTATTTAGTGAATTATTAATATGTTAGTAGCGCAAATATACAAATAGGATTACATTATGTTAATGTAATTATCAGAATTTTCCATTTTAATTATTAAAAAAATTGTATTTAATTAGTTTGTACACTGAAAGATAAGAGAATATGACTGTGTTTTTGTTAAATTATTAAAACCTATTGTAACATATATCGCAATCGAATTTGACTTTTTAGCAAAATAACCCTGTATGCGGCATCCTCCTCACCAAAAAGTTCAGAGTCAAGTACTTTACTGTTCAGCCAAATCTGTTAGCATAATAATAGTTAATAGTTTTATAAAAATATTTGGGTCTTAGTGCGTAAACCTCGTAAATTTTGATAATATACAGATAAAGAAATAAAATTTGTAGATTTTATCCAATCACTTGTATTAAATGATCGTAATAATTATCATTACAACTACTTAATACTATTCAATGAGCTCATATCTCTTATAAGTACATGGTCGGAGTTAACAATTTTTCTCATTAAAATTCGCCGGTTCTTTTCTTTAATAATGCGTGTTTAATTGACTTCGACTTTATTGGCGATGTTCTTATTTTATTCATAATGAAGTCGGTTGTACAAAATTTTTAATTTTACCACTGTCTTTACCGATCTCTCAAGCTGCGGCACGAAGCGATTCATTCATATAGTACAAAAATGATCTACAAATCCCAAAATTAGAGCTATTAAGCTTGTCTTGCATTGCCTTTTCTACCGACTTCAAAAAGGAGCCGGTACTCAATACGACTGTATGTATTTTTTATTTTTTTATGTGAGTTACCTCATAATTTTTACTGGGTGAACCGATTTCGATGATTCTTTTTTTTTTGAAACAAGGTCTGACCAATAGTTTTTGAGTTATTCTTAATAATTTATATTGAAGTCGGTTGTACAAAATTTTTAATTTTTAATTATATCAGTTAAAAATAATGGATGCTGCTACAATCTCATCACGCGAATTGGGCTTCTATTGATTTTAGTCGCGTACTGTTAGGGTTAATCTTAGCGATACGTGTACAGTTGATAATATATTCGCTTATAACGATACAGTTGAGTTCAGTCTGGGTACTGAACTCAACTGTAACGTTAAGTCATAATAACCATGTCATATATACGAGTTGATACCATATTGACTATTATAAACACTTATGTTTAAGAGTTACTCATATAAATTTAGGTGACAACCTGAGCAGGCACAAAGTCGCCGAAGCCGATGGTGGTGAGCGTGATGAAGCAGAAGTAAGCCGCGTCGAGGTACGCCCAACCCTCCCACCGCTTGAACAGGAACGTGCCCGCCACGATGTACGAAGCTACCAGGAACACGCACAGCCAGATAGGCACCGGCTTTATCTGACGCCATTGAGGAACGTTGCTTCTTTATTTTTACACGCATTGCAAATACACAAACAAATTTCACACTGAAACCATTCTAGATGTTCTATTAAATCTATACATATAAATAAAATTGAAATATGCATGATATTAAGATATAAAAAACCATTTTTTTAAATTAGTCCCTGTGTCTGTCTATCCTGGTTGATCTACGGAATGGTTAAACCGAATGTAATGAAACTTTACGAACAGAGAGAGCAATTCCAGGTGATCTATTTAACAGTGGTAGAGCCACGCGGCAGCTTTTGCTGTCGCACGGATGGGCCGGCTCGACCCGGGGTGGTACCACGACCTCACAGAAAACCAGCGTGAAGTAGAGGTTTACCTCTGCGTTTCGCTTGGTGAGTGCTGGTGGCCGGAGGCCCTTTTTACTGGAAATGAGGCATTCCATCTTGGTCCTCGCGGGTGACAACGCATCTACATTTTGATTTGTAATGGAGGATAGATGTAGATGTCTATGGGCCGCAGCAACCACTTACCATCAGATGGACTGTGTGCTCGTTTGTCACACTTATCCTATTAAAAAAAATCTAGGAAATACTTTATTCGAAAAACTTTAAAAAAATTAAACGAATGTCAGTAGATGATAATCTTTCATTACAATCCATCCATTACAGCTTATTAAAGTCCACTGCTGAACATAGGCCTCCCTCATAGATTGCCTCATGGTGGGATTTTACCATAGTTGACACGCTTGGTGAGCGGGATGTCATCCGCAGTTTTTGTTATTTTCAGCTGTTATCAGGAAGATGCTGCACATCTCCTGTCACATTTTCCCTCTGTCGCCTCTTACGATACCCTAGAGATAATATGGTGACGTGGGTATTCTTACACCGCCACTACACTGTTAATCTTATCTTGATATATGACGATAATCGTAGGTTGACTAAATAACGCCACATTCATTGATCATACCCAAGCAAAGCCAGGGTAGGTCACTAGTACTAAATATTTTCTGTAGGAGAATATTAATGACAAATGTACTCTAATATTATTAAAAATAGCCACTAGCCCATATTGTCATGAGGGAGTTGATGACAGAGGGAAACAAACTAGGAGATGGACAGCAGCGTGGCAACTGTGCTAAATATCCTCCTTTATGAGACAATTTAAGAGTAGGTCTAAGTTCAGCAGTGGACTTCTATAGGCTGTGATAGATGGTGGAGAAATGTTTTATCACCATTATCTTCGCTAAACCTTTCATCATCACCTTGTTATCAGTCCATTGCTAAGATTTATCTTGTTAAGTAAAATTGAACGTATGTATAATTAGCGCCCCGCTCTAGTTTCGCTTGGATAGGATACATTAATGTGGCACTATTTAGACATTAAGATAATCAAACAACTTTTATTATATCATATTTTTTTTCTTTTTTTTAAGTTCGAGTTTTCCGATTGAAAATAGCCTAGATTGTTCTGGCATTGTTGTCTATCTGTTTGTAAACTCTACCACAATCTGTTCAGCCATTTCGAAGATTATATCTGGACAGACAGACAAATTTTTTTAAAATGGTTCATGTCTGAGCATGCAAATAACATCCTGCGTTCAATGAATTGATAGAAGCCAAAGTGTTGTAGAATTTTTAATTGAAGTCGGTTATTTTAATGTAACATACAGACACTCCGATTTGTTTATATGTATAGATGTATATATTACGGCTAAAAGCCGAAGTGCGGATTCACCTAGATTTAACTGGCTACAACAATGTGCAGGCGAATGAGGTTGATGAAACAAACTAAAGATACAAATAAAATTGAAGTGACTGACTCTAATATCGAAAGAACCATTAAGCTCCGGGGCTTGTTTGCATTATATTTAGACATGAACAACCATTTTTAAAATTTTTCCTTTATCTGTTTGTTTCTCCGGGCTAAGCTTCGGAATGGCTGAACCGATTGTGATGGAGCTTCACAACCAGACGGATAGCAATGTCAGGAAGTATCTGGGCTATATCTTATCCTCATAACCTGCAGATCATTTTTGGGAAATCAAATAAACTGTTGTAATGAATGGTTTTTAATTATTACGGCATATTAGCAGATTTTTAAATTTTGTACCTAGCAATTTTTCGTATCGGATACAGTTTACGTGATAATAGAAAAATATTGAGTTTAAAGTGATTCTAGTATTATTTTTTATTTTAAGTACTTGACATGGCTTCAGGTGGCAGTTTAATAATTAAACTTTAAAGACTTGTCGAAAACAAAACTCAACACATTTTAATCGACTTGAAAAAGAAGGAGGTTCTCAATTTGAGTGTATGTTTTTTTATATCTTTCGATATCTTCGCAGATTGTCAACCAATTTTGATGAATCTTTTTTAATAGATAGGTTATATTTCAAGAGTGGTCCCATATGAATTTGAAGAAAATACAAAAGAAAAAAAAACAAGAAAGAAATTTTGCCCCTAAAGGTAGCAAATAAATAACTTCTTTTTTAGTCATTTGTTTTTACTGTTCGCGCAAAACTCTGTTGTCGGAATCGACACCAGATGTCACTCGGCTCGGCGCGATTCCGGTCTGAAGTTCTTCCGAGCGTCACAGTGGCGCGCGGGTCGCAAGCGAGTCAGTCATCTGCCAGATGTGCTAATGTTTGCACGCCTTTAATTTGTGCGGGAACCGCGGAATAGTTAGGGCGTCTAGTAAATATCCTGTCTAGGAATTATAACGCGCATTCCCTGTTTGGATAGCCTTTCCCGGGACTTATTGGGTCCGACTCAGAATCTGTATAAGTGCATTCGGCAATATAAGCTAGTGCGGCCTCGGTATTTAGAACTGTTGCCACGCGAAACGGTAGTGACCTTTGACCTAGAAACTCCGGGCGTGTTTTGTGCGGTAACCTTATACCCCGCGATAGTTAGTGGCTTCTGTAAGCTAGTTAATCGTACGATAGAGTTAAGTGACTGTCATCGTGGTGAACCAAGAAAGTGACTGTGGCCCCCTCAAGTTGGAGCGGTGTCGACGCTCGGGCTGCTGCCGACGGCTAAGGTCTAGGTTCAATCACCATCAGTCACACCCAGATACACACCACATCACCATTCTTTCCCTTGCACTACACAACCACATGCGACCTGACCGACTCCGGAGGGACCAGTCGCCTTGGATAGAGGTAAGTGAACTCCGCCAGATTCCTTCCGGTCGACTGGCCGTAGTATAACGCTCCCCCATATCTTTAGTGTAATTAGAGAACTTCCACGTGGCCTTAGGAGGCCCGACCTACGTTTGCTCGGGAAGTCTTCTGCTGATGGGCCCCGGGGGATTGGATCCTTTAAGGGAGCAACCGTAGGCCGTAACAAATTGGTAGCAGAGCGCGGTTCCGGGTTCGATTCCCGGTCGATCCCGACTATAGTGTTTGATAAACATTAAACAATTTTGGTGGCAGGGAGCGTTGGTGTGATTGGTTTAATTTGCATCTACAATCACGCCCGTCCGTAATACGTAAAAATATTTTTTTTGTACGTAATAATAGAATTATTTTCCTTTGTTGCTTTGTTGCTTGCCTTTTTTTTGGTTAGAGGGTAATTTGAAAAGCCGCGCCCTAGGTTGTGCAAGCGGGAGATTTTCTAGAGATATACGTCATGTAGGTAGATGGTTATTTTTACGTAATCGGTTAATTATCGTTGTCGGAGAGTTGTAGTGGATTACTTATCGAAGGTTCGATTTCCGAGCTAGGCATTTTTTGTTGATCGACCGTGATGTGTATCTTCGTTTATACTGTAAGTTGTATTTGAACTAAATAGTAGTAATTTGTATTTGCGCAATTTGAATTTAACTTGATTCGATCGCACTAGTATTTGTTATTTGTTAATTTGATTTGTGTCTTTTTTGTGCTAATTTGTATTTGGTTGATACGTAGCAAGTAGTTCGTATTTGTGTAATTTCTATTCAACGCGATTTGATAGGAACTGCATTTATTAACTGTTAATTTTTTGTTGTATTTTTTATTTGTTATCTTTGTAAACTGTGCTCAAGCCGCGTCGTAATTTGTCTTTAATAGTGATGACATCGCCCAAGCTACTGATCCGTTGTTTGCGGACTGAGCTACGCTGGGCCACAAGCGCCCATGCTTTGATAGGTCGACCGGATAGGGTCCATAACTTGATGAAGCGGTTCGAGCAGGTGGATGCTCGAAGGGCCGCAGTGGAGGAGGCTTACGCTGAGCTCGAGGATTCGGATGTGGAGAAGGGAGTCCTGGACTCCTGCTTCGCGGACTATGAGCAGTTCTTGTGGCTCACGGACGAGTTGATCGAGGCTGAAGGCAGGTATGCCGAGGAGGCGCGTGAAGCTCGGATGAGTAACCTGTCCGAGTCCTCTCTGAAGCAGCTTCAGCCGGAGCTGTTGGGACGACTCCCAACTCTGGACCTGCCAAAGTTCTCCGGGGTCCTTTCCGAATGGCTGACCTTCGTTGGTCTTTTCGACAGCCTAGTGGACGCCCGGAGTGACTTGACCCCGAGCCAAAAGATGGCGTACCTCCTGGCCTCACTGGAGGGGGAGGCCCTGGGCGTCGTCGGCCACTTGAAATTGTCGGACGACGCCTACCAGACTGCTCGGGACCTCCTAGCCAGAAGATACGCCAACGTCCGGCGAATTGCAGACGAGCATGTTAAGCAGCTTCTAAGCCTCCCGCTGCTTAGTGACCGGGCCAGACTGCGTCCGGACCTGTTGGATCCAGTCTTGGTGGCCTGTAATACTTTGAGGCGGCTGGGTTTACCAGTGGGCGAATGGGCTTTTTTGTTGCTCCGCATCGTGCTGTCCCGTCTACCTCTCGACCTGCGAATCCATTTTGAGGAGAGGTACGGCGGGGACGAGGCCTCCTATATTCCGCCCTTCTATGACCTGCTGCGGTTTTTGGAGGAGCAGTGCCGGCAGATCGAGAACGCGGCGGGCACCGTTGACGACTTGCGAGACGTGCCCAGTGAGAGGCTGAACCCGCCAGGCAAGTCGTCGTCAACCCCCCCCTGCTCCTATTGTCGAGCATCTGATCACCGGGTAACGTCGTGCCCGAAATTATTAGGTAAGCCGGTTCCAGCGAGGCGAACTATCGCCAAGGAGCGCCGCTGGTGCTGGTCATGTCTGGGAGGGCACCTCCAGCGAGACTGTCCGCATCGACGGCCCTGTCTGCATTGCCAGGGCAATCACCATGCCGTTTTGTGCCTGGGTGCGAACGGCATCTCCTCTCGGGGCTCTGCCAGGCCCTCGACCCCCACGGGCGGGGGCGCTCAGCCACGCCCTCTGCAGGGTGACTGTCGGCGCCCGCCGTCCAGCCACCAGGCCCCTAAGTTTGAAAGGAGTCCCTCCCCCGACCAGTCGGGGGGTAATTCCCCCAGGGGCGGGGGTGTCATCACCCCCCCTCAGCGTGTGGAGAGGAACTTCACGGCCACTCATCGGTCCGCTGGACCCTTCTCACTTCCGTTAGCTGAGTGGCCGCGACTGGTGTACCACTGTTCCCCATTTGATGGAGGCGGCCCTGTCTAGCTGCTGCCTTAGTTCCCACCACGGCCGCCTCCACTGAGCCTTAAGCCGTCAACGGTCCACTTGTCAAAATGTTCTGTTGCCGACGGCCTCAGTGAAGGCGTACAACCCGAGTGGCAACTGTTAAAGGTTGTGCTCTATTTATCTCGGGTTCACGCCATGTGGCCTCCCCTTGGTGGTGGGAAGATTAGGGTCCCCCTGTAGCGTTGAATCACGCTGTCAAGGGGTATTAGATTTGGTTTGGTCGAGCACTTAGTCAAAAAAAATACTTGAATTAAAATTAAAAATTGCTTTGGGCTTTCCGCGAAATTCTCCTATTTGTAGCGGTTTAAATTAAAAGAATTTAATTTAATCTACTCCTTTAAATGCTACTGCATGTGTTTTGTACATATATTTAATCACTGTATTTGATTGTTGCGTTTGTTTGCTGAAAGGAAAATTTGAATTCATCTGAAATGGAATGGCGCACTATTTGAAAAATTATGTTTATGTTTATGATAGTGTTTAATCATTTTTGTTTTCTAAGAAGTAGGGCTGTCCCTTACGTTATTGTTTTGTTTAATTTGCAAGTTGACCTATGCGCATCGGTGATTAATTTGGTTGAATTAATTCTGTAGTTGAACATTGATGCTTTTGAAAAATTAGTTGAAATATGAGCATAGGACTACTTGTCTAACAGGCTAGCTAGTTTTGGAGATTATCAGATTGAAATCAGCTGCCGCACTATTTTAGTAAATGATAATATGGTGGGTGGCCTGGCTAGGCCTACTTGTTGAAAATTCATACTAGGGACTATCTGTGCGTTTCGTTCGGCTCTCCACAGACAACGTTCATGTGGAATTTGTGGGTGCTCTGAAGCTTAGGAGGCCGCTCGAGGCCGCTTCGTGTCGCGTCACTGTTTGCAGAGCTGATCCGGTCGGATTGCGGAACTAATCATAGGGGCACAGATGGTGTTTGAAAGAGGTCGTCGGACTTCTGTCCAGTACAGGACTTATTAAAGTGCTGCGATGCCCAGGAGGGGCATCCAGTGGAGGCTGACCCTCCGGCTTGCCACATTAGGGATATCTTTGAGGCGTTGATTAGGGTTGCAAGACCTAATAGATTGCCTAAGGTGGCCTAGTTTGGTTGTAGATTCGGTCTTGCAACTTGCAGTCTCGACCTTGTCCCGCTGACCGGTTTGCTCGCGGACCTAAATCCTTATGTCCGGGACGGGGGTTTGTTCGCGCAAAACTCTGTTGTCGGAATCGACACCAGATGTCACTCGGCTCGGCGCGATTCCGGTCTGAAGTTCTTCCGAGCGTCACAGTGGCGCGCGGGTCGCAAGCGAGTCAGTCATCTGCCAGATGTGCTAATGTTTGCACGCCTTTAATTTGTGCGGGAACCGCGGAATAGTTAGGGCGTCTAGTAAATATCCTGTCTAGGAATTATAACGCGCATTCCCTGTTTGGATAGCCTTTCCCGGGACTTATTGGGTCCGACTCAGAATCTGTATAAGTGCATTCGGCAATATAAGCTAGTGCGGCCTCGGTATTTAGAACTGTTGCCACGCGAAACGGTAGTGACCTTTGACCTAGAAACTCCGGGCGTGTTTTGTGCGGTAACCTTATACCCCGCGATAGTTAGTGGCTTCTGTAAGCTAGTTAATCGTACGATAGAGTTAAGTGACTGTCATCGTGGTGAACCAAGAAAGTGACTGTGGCCCCCTCAAGTTGGAGCGGTGTCGACGCTCGGGCTGCTGCCGACGGCTAAGGTCTAGGTTCAATCACCATCAGTCACACCCAGATACACACCACATCACCATTCTTTCCCTTGCACTACACAACCACATGCGACCTGACCGACTCCGGAGGGACCAGTCGCCTTGGATAGAGGTAAGTGAACTCCGCCAGATTCCTTCCGGTCGACTGGCCGTAGTATAACGCTCCCCCATATCTTTAGTGTAATTAGAGAACTTCCACGTGGCCTTAGGAGGCCCGACCTACGTTTGCTCGGGAAGTCTTCTGCTGATGGGCCCCGGGGGATTGGATCCTTTAAGGGAGCAACCGTAGGCCGTAACATTTACTATTTGTTAAAAGTTATAATTATAAGTTTATCTGTTTTTTTCTTGTTGTTGTTTTTATTATTCGCTCGAGAGAGCAAGCAAAGGAACTATGCCATACAGCCTTGTCTTTATGTATAATTATCCTTCATAGTTCACTGCTTCACAATATGTTGATGCGTTACATTGTGCAGCCCTTGGGAGATTTTGACGGCAACTTGAGCCAGCAGGCAGCTGACAGTTGGCGATGGTATATAAAAGCGTCTATGCAAACATTATTATTAATATTACCTTATCTTGAGAATCCATCACCATCAGAGCACTTGTTTCACCGTTTCCACTAATAGTTCACACGTGTAGACAGTTAATACATAAAATCGCACCACTTTTACATATCAAAATCCACCTCAAACTATTATTTAAACAATAATACAGGAGCAGCAAACCGCCGCCGATCAAGTTCCCGCCAAAACTCCCTGTTTTTTTTCTTTTTTGACAAGTTCTGTTACTTAAACGGTCAAGCCGTGAAGTGACATAGAATATAAAACTTTTCTCTTTTCAGTAAAGTTTTTTTAATTACAGAATTAACAAAATTTTAAATGTTCAGTTTCAAAAATTAACGAAATCTTCGACAAATCTGCGAAATGTGCGATAATTCATATCTGATTCTGATTAGTTACTATCTAGTTAGTAGCTAATTTGAAGCGTCAATAGCCTAATGGCAGGGCTCGGACCGTGAACTCGAAAGGGCGTGGGTTTGAATCCGCCATTCCACTACTGTCGTGAACCACTTGTAACACAAGCATTTTAAGCTCACCAGGAGTTGTTAAAGGGGATATTAGTAATGTTTAATAGCATTGCTAGTATTTTAAAAAATTGTAGCTGTAGTACTAACTAGTTCTGATTTAATGCTAGAGATACATAGATTCGCATTATGAAACTCACTTCATCTTTGGCGATCGACACTGGACCAGATGGATACAAATCTGACTGCCGGGAGCCCCAATCTAAAACAATTTAAGTAAATTTTATTGTTATAAGTGATTTAAATATACTGACTGTCTCTTTGGTCTAGTGATCATAGACGCGGTTGCCGGTCATGAAGTCTTGGATACGAACCATGGGTCTGGTCAAAATAAGTTACTGAACTTTTATGTCAAGAAAATCTCATTAGTAGCCCGGAGTCAGAAAGTTGGAGGTGTTTCAACTCCGTGCCTCTAAAAGCACGTAAAGACGTAGGTCCTGCGCTTGATCTCTAAACGGCCGTGTCGGACTACAGTCTCATCGGAGTATAAGAGGGAGAAAGATCAGAGCGCACCTGTGTTTGCACGCATACTCGTGGACTATAATACTGCCTGCGCTGATGGCTAGTCTCTTTTTCTTTTTCTCTTTTGCCGCTGTGACCGAAATTGGGTCTGGAAGACATTCCATCCATCCATTACAGCTTATAAAGACCACTGCCGAACTTAGGCCTCCCTCATACATTACCTCATTGGGGGATTTCGCCATAGTTACCACGCCTGGCAAGAATGGCTGGCAACCGAAGATTTTTATTACTTTGATTTGTTATTAGGAAAATGCTGCTGCCCATCTCCTGTTTCAGTTTCCTTCTGTCGCTTCTTACGACACCCACGGGACGATATGGGATAGTGGATATTCATACACCGCCACTACACGGTCACGGAGAACATTATTAATATCTAAAAATATTAATTCAAAGGCGCTGATGTTTTTTTATATAGAATAAAGGTGAAAAGCGAGCACACAGTCCACTTGATGGTAAGTGGTCGCTGTGACCCATAGACATCTACATATATCCTCGATTACAAATCAAGATGCAGATGTGTTGTCACCCGTGAGGATTAAGATAGAATGCCTCGTTTCCAGAAAAAGGATCTCCAGTTCTCTACACTCACCACACGAAACACAGCAGCATTAAGCTGCTATTTTACGCTAGTATTCTGTGAGAGCGTGGTCCTTCCCCGGTCGAGCCAACACATTCGTGCTACAACTATACAACTAAGATAGCTGCAGCATGGCTCTACCGCGTACTAAAGTTGTAGAGACAAATCACTTGTATGCTCTGTCACATTTTATACTGATTTGTATTTATATATTGTCATCACTGCAGTTGCAGCCCATTATAAGACAACTGCTTGATGAATATCTAGTCTTAATCTTCCCTCAAAGCCAATACTGAGCTTCAAATCTTTATCCTATTTAGTGGAAATTCACCCTATTTAAGAGTTTAAGAACCTTACTTAATATCAATATTCAAAATACCACAATTCCATTGTAACAAGTCGCGGATACAATGTCTTTAGGAACTTCATATGAGGAGCTCATAGACCCCACGGATCGATAGTCTATACAGAAAATGGACAAATATGTAGTTATCTCTTAGAGACACTTGCGCCACTTACTTTGTTAGCCGGCTCTGATGACGCACCGGCTTTAGACGAGTTACCTCTGAGATGAGAGGTCGCCAATGTGTCTAAGCCCGTAGATTTCTACATTTTCTACTGACTTCAAAAAGGAGACGGTACTCAATTCGACTGTATGTTCTCTTTTTATGTGTGCTACCCTATAATTTTTTTCAAACTTAACTGATTTCGATGTTTCTTTTTAATTTCAAAGCTAGTGCTTCTCATGTGGTCCCATATAAATTTGATCAAGGTCTGACTAATAGTTTTTGAGCTATTCTTAATAATTTATATTGAATTGGGTTGTACAAAATTTTTAATTTTAAATTATTGGTAGATATAAATTGTTCACTCTACGCACTTAAGCTTAAAAATTGTTTGGGCTATGTTGAATATTCTGGTTCTACTTTGGATATCCTCGTTAAGGATTTATTCACATGAAGGATTATCCCTATCTATATTGACTTGACCATAGCTCCACGAGGAGCAATTTTGAGCTTCCTCATATGGACCCAAGTAACAGACTACATCCAAATGGAAGAACTAGCACGGCATACTGGTCTTTTTGTCATCCAACAATTTGTCTCAATCTTCTGAATTTTGCTCAGCCAAATGGAATTCATCGGTGTACCTCGACGGTGAAATTATCTTGACTAAAAACAAATTCTACCTAACTAACTAACATAAATTAAATAGCTTGGAGTATACAAGTCCTTAACAAAATAATTAAATAGTCAAAACACCTGCAGGTGGCCTCCGTCGAATGGGAGGCAGCTCGTCGCTCCAATCATCTCTATCCGGAGACGGCGTCTGTAAAAAATTTAAAATTTTGTGAGTAAATTTAAAACAATTTATGTTAAGGAGATCTGAATGAAGAGGGTGAAGTCAAGCTGAAAAACGAGCACACAGTCCACCCAATCGTAAGGAATGCAGTGGCCCTTAAACACCCTTCGATTAGGAATCAAATCAAAATCAACCCCTATTCTATAAAAAATACTTAGGCTCTAAAAAGATGAGATACTTTTACGATAGTTTAGTGACCATGAATAAAAGGAGAAAAGGGAGATGAAGATGACAAGAGAAGTGCAGTTCGACGAAATGATGTTTAAGAGCCTGGAAAACTGATGTTAACGGTTACTATGTGGCACACTTATGTCATCCATAAACTGTTGAAGCAGTTACTTGCATAATTTAAATACCTTCAAAGTCGATTTTACTCAAAGTTTGTCTATTACATATATCCGAGGAATAGTTGAAACTAAACCAGCTCAATTACTAAGCCGTGCCTGTGATCTAGATGTATGAAAATATCAAATAGATATCAGTCAACAAAACTTACTGATAGATCCTATCAATCAAGGAACGGATCGCTTGAAATTTTGAAGACTGAGGAAGAAGAAAGAAGAAGACTTACTTTCGTAACTAAATAAATGTTCAATAACTTACATATCTGTGACGTGCTCTTTCGGTGTCATCGATTGTGTAGAGCCTGCGCAGGCGCCGTGGCCTTCCGTGTCTGTCTCCCCCTCCAAGGCGCTCATCACGTCCCCACCGATCCCCTCTCCCCCACCGTTCAGGACCACTGTCTTGCCTTCTTTCACAGTCGTACATAGCACTACGCGCGCGGCGGTCGCGCCGTCTCTCTACATCATAATCTTCTATGTCCCGTTCGTAGTACTCAGAGCGGCCACGATCCATTCTAAAGTTAAGGTTTACGTCGTTATCGTTTTTTTTTAGTACCAATTTTCTATTTTTTTTAATTTGTTTTTAGGAACACTTGAAGTTACCATCAAGTATTTTTAAATATTTGTGTGGAAATTAACCATTACAATGTTTTCAAATTTAGATTAGAAAATAAAAGGGTTTTAATTTATAGAATAAGGGTGATAAACAAGCACACAGTCTACTTGATAGTTCGCGCTGCAACCACAATATAGCTGCAGCATGGCTCTACCACTTAAAAAGGTGTAATGTATAGCTAGTCATTGTTGTATTAGTATAGTTATTAATAAACCCATGTTATGTTTTAACTAACTTAAAATTTAGAATAACTTGAAATATATAAACCTCTCCTTGATTCATGAAGAAAGTCAAGAATCTGTCAAAAAAACAAATTAGGTTCGATTATTTATGATTGCACTAAAAGAGTTCGTAAACAGTCACCTTCGGTCGTATCCTGTTCTCCTGATCCTCGGACTTTCCTCATAATCCTCATCCTCCGGATCATAGCCCCGATCTCTGTAACCGTAGTCGTCCCTTTCCATTCTTCTTCGTTCTCGCTGTTCCAACGCCTTTCGTTCTTTAAAGTTTTCATAGTCAACGTCATGTAGGTCGTGCATTTCATAAATATCCTTGCCATCATCCAGCTCATAATGACCCTGTTCATCGAAATCTCTCCTCGGTCCGAATTCTGGCTTTGATTTCGCTGGCCTCGGTAAAGATTTACTCCGCAGCTCTGATTTAGAATTTAAGTTCAGCTGGTGATTATCCAAATCCTTTAACGCTGCTTGTAAGTCTTGTAGTGGGAGCGAGATTTTCGGAAATTCCACTGTAATTTTAAAAGAAATTTGCGCTGACCTACCATAGATATATCTCACTGTAAATCCACCAAGTGGCAAATAAGTATCCCATTAGATACTACAGGGAAAATAACCTAGTTAGCAGATAATCATGGATCCTCTATTTGTACCTCAACAGTAACCAATGTTTTTTTATTGAATAAGTACAACCAACAAGCAAATAGTTCACTTAATAATACGTGGATTCTGTGCTCTATCTTCGATTCTTATCTCGATTCTTTTATATCCCTTACCTTGTGTAGTGACGGGTAAGAATATCCACTACCCCATATCTTCCCGTGGGTGTCATAAGAGGCGACAGAGGGAAACTGAGACAGAAGATGGGCAGCAGCATCTTTCTGATAACAGCAAATTACAATAAAAAACAGCGATTGCCAACCCGCTCGCCAAGCGTGGCAACTATGGCAATATACCCCCCATGACGAAATTTAAAAAAAAAGGCCCGCAGTACCCAGCGGCCCTTCCTGTGTAACATGGTATCGGCGGGGCAGGGGTTCTAAGAATCTCCGATGGAGGTTCAGTTACCACCTAAGACGACTCCACCTGGCAACTCACAACACACACACCCGAAGGACTGACGAGAAGGTCCTGAAGCTGGAAGACGAGATAGACAATTTGCGCTGGAATATTATAGGACACGTTGATCCTCGAATCCAACTTGTTCTATCACCGGGAGGGCGAATCATCTGTCCAAAGGAGGTGTTGGATTTATCCAACAACCTCGACACATCCCGATGAGGAGGTGGAGGAAATGTACGAGGATATCTCTAAAGCCATGCATTCCTCCAAAATCCACTATACGATGTTAATGGGAGACTTCAACGCAAAACTAGGTTCACGAGAGAACGGCGAGCTGAGGCTAGAGACATTTGAAATAGGACAACGGAACCCAAGGGGCCAGCAGCTGGACGACTTCATGGAGAAAGAGGAGTTCTTTATGATGAACTCTTTCTTCCAGAAGAGGCCCCACAGGAAATGGACCTGGTCGACGACACTGACGGTTTGACAAAAAATGGGATTGACTTCATTATGACAACTAAACGACAACTCTTTAGTGATATCTCAATGATCGCGAGGGTGAAAACTGGTAGCGGTCACCGAATGTTTAGAGACAACTTTACCTAAACGTTAAGTTGGAGAGGTGTTGCCTAATGAAGTCAACGCTCCGTCCTCCTGGTGCTCTAATCCAAAGACCCGAAACCTTTCAGCTCGAGTTACAAATTGTTTTCAGTGCCTAGAAGATTGCAATGTAGTAGAAGATTTGAATGACAAGCTCGTGGAAACTGTCCATGCGGTTGGAGTTAATTTTTGCAAAACCTGGCGCAGAATACGAAAACTCTCCAATTTCAAGCTTAATCTCTTGGCTGCTCGTATTGAACAAGCGACTGAGCGGAACCAGGGTTCCGAAGTCTTTTCTAGAAATCTGTCTGCCAGAAAAGCAAGTCTTATCCAACACTATTCCGATGATATCCCGGACATCAGTCTGAGCGAGATTAGAATGGCTCTCCAGCACTTGAAAAACGGCAAGTCCCCGGACGGGGATGGAATTACAGCGGACTTACTGAAAGCGGTTGGACAACCGGTATTTGAAGTCCTTCAGAAGCTCTTTAATTCCGTCCTTCATGGTGGCACTACTCCGGCGTGGAGCAGAAGAGCGGTGGTCTTGTTCTTCAAGAAAGGCGATAATGCTCTCTTGAAGAACTATAGACCGATTTACTTTCTGAGTCGCGTTTACGTGCTGTTTTCTAGAGTCATTACGAATTATCTCGCACGCAGACTCAACGACTTTCAGCCTCCCGAATAAGCCTGTTTCCAAAAAGGCTTTAGTACCATAGACGATATACACATCCTTCGGCAAATTGTACAGAAGACGGAGGAGTAAAATTTGCCACTATGTCTTGCATATGTGGACTATGATTAAGCCTTTAATTCCGTCGAAATTAAGGAGGTGCTGCAGTCCCTTCAGCGGTGCCAAGTTGACTGTCGATATTGCAAAGTACTGAAGTGTTTGTACAGTAGGGCTACGATGGCTATTCTAATACAGAACCAGTGTACGAAACCTATCCAACGGCAGAAACGTGTAAGACACAGGGTGACGTTATATCCCTGAAACTCTTCACCGCTGCATTGGAAGACGTTTTCAAGCTACTGGACTGGAAAATACCCGGTATTAACATCAATGGCGAGTACATCACTCACCTTCGATTTACCGAAGATACAGTCCATATGGCAGAATCGCTGGGGGACCTAAGCACTATGCTCAATGACGTCAATAGTACCTCCCAACGTATAAGTCTTAAGATGAACATGGACAAAACAAAGATCATGTATAAAGTCCACGTCTCGCCTATGCCGGTAGATGTTGGGAACAATAAGCTCGAAGTTGTTGACGAGTATGTTTACCTGGCACAAATAGTCCGACTACGTAAGTCCAACTTCTTCCGAGAGTTCAATCGACGGAATCATCTCCGCTGGGCAGCGTGCGGGAAATTACGACACATCTTCTCGTCAGGTATACCTCAAAACTTGAAAACGAGACTGTACAACCAGTGCGTGTTGCCAGTGATGACATATGAAACTGAGACGTGATCCTTCATTGCTGGCCGTGTGAGGAAGCTCAAGGTCACTCAGCCAGCTATGGAGAGGGCAATACTCGGGGTGTCTCTGCGTGATCAACTTCGAAATGAGGATATCTGCAGTAGAACCAGAGTGACCGACATAGCCCAACGGATTAGTAAGGTGAAGTTGCAATGGGCCGGCCGTATAGCTATAAGAACTGACAACCGATGGGGAAAAAAGGTTCTCGAGTGGCAGCCTCATACCGGTAGGCGAAGTGTAGGGTGACATCCCTCTAGATAGTGTGACGACCTGGTAAGACGTGCAGGAAGTCGATGGATGCAGGTGTCACAGGATCGTACTTTGTGGCATTCTTTGTGGGAGCGCAAGGACACCAATTATCACAACACTATGTTCAGCAGTGGACTTGTGAAGGGCTGTAATAATGATGATGATGATGATCCTGGATTCGGAATCAAAATTCAAACTCGTTGCCACCTCTGATGGTTAAGACGGAATGCCTCCTTTTTAATAAAAATGGTCTTCGTCTCCCTAGAATCACTAAGCAAAACACAACAGCATTATGCTGCTAATTTACGCTGCTATTTTGTAAGAGCGTGGTCCTGCTCCGGTCGAGCTGACCTTTCATGCCGTAGCCATATCAACTACTTTAAAACAAATTACCAAAAATGCTGCTTTTTGCATCAGGTTGTGCTACAATATCATTCATAATATAAGTGTTACATTAGGCACGAGGAAGTTATAACAAGTATGAGATACATACCGAAGTGTATCTCATACTTGTTATACTATTCTGAAGGCAATTTTTTTTTCTTTTATAGTATACGGGTGACAAACGAGCACACAGTCCACCTGATGGTAAATGGTCCATAGACATCTACATCTATCCTCGTTTGCGAATCAAAATGCAGATGATTTGTCGGCCGTGAGAAGAGGAGATGGATAGCCTCTTTTCCAGTACAAAGTGTCTCCGTTTTCCTACACTCACCACACGAAACATTGCACTGCAGCATTGAACTGCTATTTTACACTGGTATTCCGCGAGAGTGTGGTCCTTCCCCAGTCGAGCCGAAACTATGCTACTAATATAGCTGCAGCATGGCTATACCACGTATAAATCTATACTAGTAACGCTTTTATTAATACTCCTTGCTTGCTTAATGCTTGTGCTGAGAGTGCTTCATACAAACCCACGACTTTGAGTTTGGTAATCGGTATCCTTGACAGCTACTCTTTCCTAATGTAAGTAAACAGAAGTTATAAACGTAGACTAATAAATAAAAAAAAAATATAAACCTGTGTCTGATGGTGTGAAATAACATATCGCAACAGGCCGGACACCATCGCATTGCTAGAAAAAGCACCCAATTGTTGATACGAAAGCTGCTATTTAACGCCTAGTCAAGTAAATAGCCCAAGATTTTAAAACCATGTTATAAGAGAAAAGTGTGGTATGCAAGATGATGTTATCACCAGGATTAAGAAAGGAATGCTTGGGTGGTTTGGTCATGTCATAAGAATGAACGAAGAAATAGCGACAAGGCAAGTTTACGACGCGCGATAAGGACGCTCTAGACGAAAGTTTATCAACCAAATTGGCGATATATTGAAGATCGGCCAGATTAAGGAGGGCCCTTAATCGACGAGCATGTATGCGTAGGTATATGAATGTAAAGAAACTGAGAGAGGTATGTTAGTATCGTGCCAATTAGCCATTTTTACAATAGACGTAGATATATCCTTATCGTATCTCATAGAGTAGCACGGGCCAACGTCGGCGGACTGGAGCGGTGGCCCGTGTTGCTATAAGTGTTGGTAAAAAAAAATCAAGAAATCTATATTATAATATGTTGTATTGTATATTTGGATTGAATTTGTTTCTTACCATCTTCTTCGTCATATTTATCCCGACTATATTTGTCAAATCTCACTGGTGAATGTTCTCCTGCCTCCAAGTCTCGACCTTCAAGTATAAAATACAGATCAAGTCAAAAGTATTGAATTTACAGGGTTTTCAAATAAATTTTTATTAAACATATAGTATTATAATTTTTTTTCTTTGAAAAACTGAGAAAAGAGCGCACCCTACATCTGATAGTAAATGAATTCTGTGGCCCAAAGTAGATGCTATAACTTAACAATTGGTATATTTTTTTTATATGATAGGCTGACAAACGAGCACACAGTCCACCTGATGGTAAGTGGCTACTGTGACCGATAGACATCTACATCTATCCTCAATAAAGACTCAAGATGCAGATGCGTTGTCACCCGTGAGGACTAAGATGCCTGACAGAAGAAGGAATGCCTCTTTTCCAGTAAAAAGGGTCTCCAGTTCTCTACACTCACCATACGAAACACAGCAGCGTTAAGCTGCTATTTTACGCTGGTTTTCTGTGAGAGCGTGGACCTTCCCCGGTCGAGCCGACCCATTCGTGCTACAACTATACTACTAATATAGCTGCAGCATGGCTCTACCACGTATATGTGATTTTTTTTTTATAATATGTACAAAAGATATACATAAGGTAAATTAGTTTGTCCAAAGTCTAGGATTTTATCGAGTATATTAACTTATTACAGGCCTGTTGGTCTAGTGGTTAGTGACCCTGACTGCTATGCCGGAGGTCGTGGGTTCGATTCCCACCCAGGACAAATGTTTGTGTGATGAGCACGATCATTTGTTCTGTGTCTGGGTGTAATTTATCTATAATATTTATGTATTTAGAAATATATAAGTATGTTTATCAGTTGTCTAGTACCCATAACACAAGCTCTGCTTAGCTTGGGACTAGATGGCGTTGTGTGATAGTTGTGGAATATTATTATATATTATTATATATATTATTATTTATTTTTTCATTCGAGTACTTTACAGGAGTGTCAATTACAGTAAATCCTTCTAACTCCTTTACTAGGCTGATACTGTTGACAGCCCTGTCCCTGGACTAACTAGCTGATGAAGATATTGTTGATAGTGATATAAAATGTGATCTGTGATTTATTGTTTGATTACTAACATTGAGACCGTAGCGGCGGTGGCTGAGAGCGGGTCCGTGATGGCAGGGTCGCCGAAGGAGGTCGCGTGCGTTTGATCTTGCCGCTGCTATAGCCGCTATCACGATACCTGCACGCAGTTATGGATTTATAATAAGACTGACTCACTAGGCATCGGCCTAGGGCATACCGCAGAGAGGACATCGGTTTTTAAACTTATGATAAAAAAAAATGTTGTATTATGAAAAAAAAATGCATGAAATTAGTCAATCAAATTATTTATATTTGATTTATGGTAAAATTGTAACTATTTCACTTCGAATAAAAAATCAATATAAAACAGAAAAAAATCAAATATCAATATCTATATCATGTACCTGTTCGGTAGGATTTTACTTAAGGATTATTGCTTTTAGCAAGAAGAAAGTCTGTTTTCGTTCAATTAAGAATAACACTTCGAACAATTTTGAATTAAGCGCGGATTAAATCGCAGTATCTGTTTATTTGTTTCTTTTTTATAGGAGAGGGGACAAACGAGCACGTCAGCAAGTCTAGTGGGTCTGATGGAGTCCCTCCCATTGCGCTGATGCAGCACTATCAGCACTCCCAAAGCGTAGTCTCAAATTCATGGAAGACAGCTTTGGTCTACCCGATTCCTAAAAAAGGCGACCGCTCAGACCAGTCCAACTCCAGGCCCATCAGCATCACCTCCTTTTTACCCAAAATAGTGAACCATGAGGATCACCAGCTGATTAGTGACCGACAATATGGTTTTCGTCGGGATCGATTAGACATAGACATAGACATGCATTTATTCAGCAACATACACTCATACAGTTTTGATACAGAAAATAAAATAATACATAAAAACATCAAAGATAAAAGTAAATAACAAAAAACAGTCATAAAATGATCCGATTGCATGAGTGATGTGATGCTGAAAAGGGCACTGACTCAACATAATGCTATCGCAGGATTGCGGTAGCGTTGGTTTTCAGCAATGCCCATTGATGTTGGACTCGCCCGCGAGGATAGTATGTTCGTTTTATTTCTATTTTCGAGAAAGATGTTATCCAAATAATAAAATAAACTAATGGAAACGAAAAAGGATGGGAACTTTATTTATGCAGTAAGTATATATTATAAATGTATATAATAAATAATATAATGAGTATATACAATAAAACAATATAGATATTTATATAATACTATGAAAATATAATGCAGCTATTTTATCCGGCCCTTAATGTTAAAGTGACAAAATATTCTTTTACTTTTACCTTGAAAAGGTTGATGGTATTTAGTTGGCGGATAGGTGGGGGCAAGTTGTTCCAGCATTTAGTAGCTGCATATCGGAAACTACCGCGGAATGCTGCCGTTGTGTGTTTTGGTATTGAAAGGACAATTTATTTTGTTCGAATGTCCTTAAAATTACCGTCCTTGCGCCATTTTAGTTTTTCTAATAGATATCCGGGCTTGTTTGTTGTTTGAAAGACACCGAACATTAGTGTTGCTAAATGTAGTGCTCTTAATTGGGACATTCTTAATAACTTTCATTTATTTAAAAAGGGACTGACGTGAGTTCGTGGGGGAATGTGGTGTATATACCTGGCACAAGCATTTTGGATCCTCTGAATTATTCGGTCAGTTTTCGAAAGTAGCCTTGGTCCATATACCGTATCGGCATAGTTTAGCCTGGAGAGTACAAGGAAGTTGCAAAGCTTAACGCACAGATCTTCACTCAAAAAGTCACGTATAATATCATATATAATACTTTTAGTCTGTAAAAGCAATTACGTGTGATCTCGATCACGTGTCTCTCAAAGCGAAGCGCGTCATCCATCAGCAACCCCAGATTCTTAGCTTCAGTCACACGATTTATCTTCTCCCCGAGGACACACAGATCAGGATTATTTGCAACTATTCTATTTATCTGTCGCTTTGATCCCAATACTATGTATTTCGATTTTTCTGGGTTGAGTACAAGAGTGTTGGCTTCTGACCACTGGGCGATTTTCATTAGATCTCTATATAGGTTATTAACAGCCCAGTTTGACTTGGTACAAAGGAAAGATATACCTGCAAATCGTCTGCATACATATGATATTTACAGTTCTGAATGGCTGTACTAATATCTGCTATATACAGTATGAATAAAAGAGGGCCTAGTATGGATCCTTGGGGAACTTCTCTCGTTACAGGACAAGGACTTGATAGAGAATGTGTACCATCTTTTTTAATTATTTTAACCAACTGCATGCGATCATTTAGATAACTGGAGAACCACTTGATTGCGATCGGATCGAATCCATAATAGGAAAACGATTAGCTGGTGATCTTCTGGTCTACCTGACTCATAGATCGACGGAGGCAGTAGAGTCCAAGGGCGAGGCATTGGCCGTTAGCTTGGACATAGCGAATATAGCAACCCGTTGGCGGTTACCCGTCAACATGAAGTAAACTCAAGCCAGTAATAGCCCTACCGCTAAAGCCATAAATTTAATAAATAGATTTTTACACAGCAACCCTGATGCCGATATATTTTTTGACAAATTCGATGTAATTATGAAGTATGTGTATTCTTATCTGAATAGGTTAAATAATTGATCTCATAAAATGTAATATCATGTAAAATGTAATATCATGTAAAATGTAATATTATATAAAATGTAATAATAATAATAATAATTAATAGAATCAGGCGTTACTTTGCGGAAGTCCATTATATTAAAGTTGACAAAAAATTATTTTGCGTACATCCGCTCGATAGAATAAAATGATGTGTCTTACCTAGTTTGAAGAGCACCTCCCGCCTTCCCTCAATTGCGTGCACTATCCCTGTCACCACTAATCTCAGCACCACTACTCCCAACACCACTACACTAGGAAAGACACACCACTGACGACAATACGACACGTGTTTCGCCTCTACACGAGGCATCTTCAGGTGATATATACTCTACGGTGGCTAACCGCTAAGTGAGCGGCGAGCCAAAACAACTGCTATTTATACAGACAAAATTAAAAACGCCACATAAACACCGTTTTGTCGAAGAGTCTTAGCTATTTTTTCAGATATGGGGCCTAAGTAGGTCAAACTGCTCACATATCGATGAATACTTCGAGGTTTAACCACGTACGGATAGTTGCGAACAACATGCTTTTGTTACATTTAATTAAATTGTTAATGAATTTTTTTGAAAAACCGTTAGAGACCGCTATTTGATAAATTATATTGAGTTCTTTAAAATAATTTTCTTTACTTAATGGGACAGTGAACAAACGATTAATGTAACAATAAAAAGCGGCTACTTTATGTTGCCACGGATGACACGATGACGCGGGGATGACCGTGTCGGTGTGAGTTGGCTTTCGATAAATTTGGAAAACATGTGACGATTCTTTTCTTGTTATTGTTAAGTCGAGAAAATTAGGGGAACAATCTTGTTTCAATTCAAGTTTTTGTCATGGACTCTATTTATTTTAATGAGGAAAACATCCAGCTGTCTCCTTCTGCCAGTCCAGCAAATAATTATGTCGTCTACATAATTATCGATAGTAATATAAAATATTTTGATTGACAACTATATGTTGTTTTTCGAAATTATCCATGAAAATATCCGCCATAAGGGAACTTAGAGGGGACCCCATAGCTAACCCTTCTTTTTGTAGATAGAAATGGTTATTAAGCCGGAAATAGTTTTGTTTCATACAGAGAGAGGTTAAGTTAAGAAGATCATTTGTTTCCCCGGGATGTAGACGACGTTTATCAAAGAGATCTGCGAGTATACGCAAACAGTCAGGGGACGGGACATTTGTGAAAAGACTATCAACATCTAAAGATAATAATATGGATTTACGAGGAATACGAATATCTTTAATGTTGGAAATGAGATCTAAGCCATTTTTTAGGCTGTAAGTGGGGTTGAATCCAGATTTCTCTCGAAGGAGGAAGTTTGATTTTTTAGCAAGGAAATAAGCTGGTGCACCTATGTATGAGACAACTGGACGAATTCGAACATGTTCTTTATGTATTTTTGGTAACCCATATAAAATGGGTGCTTGAGGAGTCATTGAAACAAGACTGCTTCGAGACTTTAAGAAGGCATTTGATACTCTGGACCATGAGGTGCTTTTAGGGGCTATGGAGGAATGTGGAATTCGGGGCCCTGTAAATGAATGGTTCCGTAATTATCTATCAAATCGGACTATTTGCACTATGGTGAGTGGGACGACTGGCGCTGAAGAACACATCGCTCTCCGTGTACCAACCGGTTCTGTGTACGGCCTGTAGGGTACATTATACTGGTGAACAGTGAGGTTAATGTGGTGCATCACTGCGATACCTACATGTACGCCGATGACATGTGCCTAATGTATGGTTCCAAAAACTTACATGAAGCTTGTGATAAAATACAGGAAGACTTTGATCGGATTACCCAATGGGCACATGATAACGGCATAATACTGAATTTGAAAAAAAACCAAAGTGTATGCACTTACATTTTCCATACAACAGGCTAGCTAAGAATGTGCGCTATGAAGAAATAGGAATTGTAGAGCATGACTATGAGTGCTTGCATAGGGGAAAATTATCATGTCAATGTGCCAAAATAGAATTTGTTAATAGTTACAAATATTTAGAATTATTAGTAAATAGTAGTTTTAATTGGAAATTACACATTGAAAAAGTATGTTCAAAATTAAGGTCCATTTTAGGTAAATTCTATCAAATTCGAAAAGTAGTAAGTAAACATGTTCTATTAGTGGTTTACTATGCATTAGTTGAGTCTTTAATTAACTATTGTCTTATTGTGTATGGCCGTACATTTAGTACCTATATAAAACAAGTCAAAAGCCTACAAACACAAGTACTTTCGCAGTTTTTTCGATTTTTGACAAAGTTGCGTTTGACGCTCGAGGTCACAAACTTCGATTATTCATTGGGCCAACATCATAAAGAAGTCTGCAAAAAATCAGAACTACCGGATTTGACGCATACTACCCCATACTTTCAGGCGACAAAGTTACTGGACAATGAAGAGGGAGATTTCTTTAGTTTCAATTTTTTTAACTCTTCACTACTCTGAGATAAATTGGTATAGAATGTATCAGGTATTAAGTATATAACCTGTCGGAAATATCTGCGAACCTGGCTTGATGACGTCATGCAATATGGAGAGATGGCAACGATACTGGATAGACGATAACGGGCGGAAATATCTGCGAACCTGGCTTGATGACGTCATGCAATATGGAGAGATGGCAACGGTACTGGATAGACGATAACGGGCGGAGGTGCGGGGAAGCGCGAGGGGAAGCGCATTCGAGCGAGGTTCGCAGATATTTCCGACAGGTTATACCTATAAAGATACGTTGCAGTGTAATATGAAATTAAATAACTAGTATTAAAAATATATCGCAATTCTAGAAATTTATTTTAAGTCTGATTTCATGGTTATTTCAGCATGTAGGTATTAGATTTCTCTACATTAAGTACTCTGGATCTTTGCTATCTCGCAGCGAACAGAATATAGGTAATGTTAAAGTATTCATAGAAATAAAACAGCGTCTTCTCATTTAGTTACCATCTTTTATATAGATATCTTGATTCACATAGACAAGAGACCTAGACTAATTTTGCTGCCCAATATTGATACTGACACTTACATAAATATCGATACTACAACAGATAATTTGATAAAAATTAAAACAAATATCAAATTAAATCAAAAGTCTTGATTCTGAAATTAACTAACCTGAAATCGGTGTCAGAGTGCGCGCGCTCCACCGGCCGCCGCCGACGACTCGCGCGCACTGAGCGCCTGCAAAGAATTCATAGCAATACACAGTCTTGTGCAAAGTGCTATTACGTTTCTTTTATTGATTTTAGTTAGGTTATGAGTGCTTAAGATAAGTTTCACATTGACAATTTATAGAATAAGGGGGACAAACAGGCACACAGTTTAAATGATGGTACTCGATTAAGAATCAAAATGCATATGCGTTGTCCCACCTAAGGATTAAGATGGAATGCCTGAATAAATAAAAACAGGTCCCTGGTTCCCTACAATCATCATACGAAGTACAGTAGCGTTAAGCTGCTATTTACTTATTTTTTAGTATTCTAAGAAAGCGTGGTCCCATCCAAGTCGAGCCAACCCATTCGTGCTACAACCATAATACGAGAGCGGCACTGAAAATTTCGGGAATCAAGGAAGTGACACAACATTACTATTTAAAAATGTATTTATTGCTTTTCGAAGTATTCTCCGCGAAATATGACACATTTTTTCATACGATGGAACCAATCATTGAAGCAACCATTCCATTCGGAAGTTGGGGTCTCCAAAATGGCCGTTTTGTAGGCGTCCACAGCTTCTTCAGGTGATGAAAATCTCTGTCCACGCAATTTATGCTTTATTTTAGGGAAAGTATAGAAATCATTAGGGCTTAGGTCGGGGCTGTACGGCGGATGGTCTAATAATTCTATGTTTTCTTGCTCTAAAAACTCTTTTGTTCTGTGTGCGGTGTGAGAACTCGCATTGTCGTGATGGAGGATGATGCGGCGGTTGCAGTTCTCTTTACGGAGTTCAGAAACGACCTGTGGCAAACAAATGCTAGCATACCATTCTGCATTAACCGTTCTTTGTCCCTCAAAAGGAATAGTCGTAACATGGCCGGTTTTGGAGAACGTGGCCACCATTTTTTTTGCAACACTCCGTGAACGAACAATTTTTGTTGGCTTTAACTCATTTTCGAACACCCAAACTCGTGACTGGTTTTTTGTTTCGGGTTAGTAAGCGTATTACCAGGATTCTTCACCTGATACGATGTTGTATACAGCATTTGAGGATCCTGCGTGGAATCTTTCGAGAGTTCTGACGCACCAAGTAACGCGAGCCGCTTTTTGCTCTTCACAGAGCGAATGCGGTATCCATCGGGAAAGCAACTTTTTTACACCTAATTGTTCATGCAAGATTATTTTTATTTGACTCATGCCAATGTCTAAAGTTGCCTGAATTTCACGGTATGTCACATGTCGATCTTCCTCAATCAGCTTACGCACAGCATCAACGTTTTCTTGGGTGACTGCAGTTTTTGGACGACCTTGACGGGGATCATCACTGAGCTTGACATGTCCACGTTGAAATTCAGCAAACCAGCGATAAATTGTGGTTTTGGATGGGGTTTCATCACCAAATGCAGAAATCATCCGGTCAACACACTGTTTTTGTGTTAAACCACTTCGAAAGTCATAATAAATCATCGCTCTTGAATTTTCTCGAGTCAATTCCATTTTCTCAACGACTAAACAAGTTTGACAAAACCTTGTGACAAGGCCGAGAATCTTTTTTTTAAATAAATAAATGGTATTCGATTTTTAAAACCAAGGGGTTTTCAATTAAAAAGATTTTAATATAACAAGAACAGTGGAAATATTCCATTCCCGATACTTTTAGTGCAGCCCTCATATAGCTGCAGCGTAGATCTACCCAGTAAAATGATAAATCAAAATTTTAATTTTCATTCATATGTATCCTCCATTTTGTATAATATACAAGACATGGTTATATCTAAAACCTTTAAATATTACCGACACTTTTCAGTCCACTTTTATCAATGACTGCAAGGGTCAACAAGGCGATATATTATTTCGAGCTGCCCTTCGGCAAGATTTTTATTTTGTTCCAGCTCTCGAAATATATTATGTTTTAGACATGCAGGATTCCTCGTAATATTTTTTTTCACCACCGAGCACGTACCACCCCACCACAGCACTTAAAATTGCTATCAATAATGTAAGTAGTCCTAGCGGGGATCGAACACGGCTTTCTCGCGTACTGAAATCAGCTGGCGTTTAGTAATTACCTGATGTTTCTTTTTTAATACTAGCCTAGCTAATAACATTACTAATATTCCTTTTAACCACCCCTGTTAAGCTAAAAATGCTTGTGTTAGGAGTGGTTCACGACAGTCGTCGAATGATAGATTTTAACCCTCGACCTTTTGATTTCGCGGTCCGCACCTAGCCATTGGGCTACTGTCGCTTCAATTTTATTGGGCCACTAGCTGATACCCGCGACTTCGTCCGCGTTGCTTGATATATCCAGAAAACACATCACTGAACACGTAGTACTTATAAAATCGTTATTTCTTAAAACTTTCATAACTTTATATTAAATAAAGATATCGCAATTATATTTTTTTTAGGTAAAGGCAAATTGTCTAAGAAATAAAACTTAGAAAACCTAATTTAAACCAGTAGTTTTTCCGTGATGCGCGCACAACTGCAAGCCTTATTTATATAGATTGTGAATCAAATATATTGCACTTTTCTGTAGACTTGTCAACGTCACTACCCGCTCTCTTCACATCCGGTTTATTACTTTTATACCGCACTAATATTAGTGAACAAAACAAAAGCTTGTAGTAAGATTCGCAATATGTATTATTATAGAAAAAGACCAATGATTTTTTTAGTTCTTATTAGTATATTTCCAAATATCTTGATAACTACTTGACGAAATTGTTCTATCAGTATAATCGCAGCTCAATTAGTTAAAAACCTTCGAGTAATTGAGTTACATAATAGTGTCCTCCATACCGAATTTCGGTCATGGAGGCCAGTCACATCTGAGACTAGCCATCTGCGCGGGACAGGATTATAGTGCCCGAGTGTATGCACGAGCACACCTGCACTCTCTATTCCCTCACTCTCATAATCCGATGAGACGGTAAACCTACAAGATCGGAGAGAGATCAAGCGCCAACCCCCAACTTCCTGCCTCCGGGCTTTTCCTGGGAGTTTCTTGACAGAAACAATCAATAACTGTTTCTTTTTTCTGGCGACAGCGCATTTATAATAGAAATGGTTAATAATGAGCTATTTCATATAGCAGCATTCACATAACAGCCCAAAATAATATTAAACTGCCAAGCGAGGCAACAGTGGCAAATATCTCTTATGTTTAACAATGGACTTTTTATGTGTTGTAATGAATGTATGAGTGTACCTTTGTATGGAATGTGGCTATTCAATTTTTAAAGGCAACCAGTAATTTAAGTTCGACCCCTATCCAAAGGCTACAAGATCTTTCGAGGATTTTTTTTAGTATAAGGGTGACCAGCGAGCACACAGTCCACCTGATGGTAAGTGATTGCTGTGGCCCATAGACATCTACATCTACCTTCGTTTGCGAATCAAAATGCAGATGCGTTGTCAGCCTTGAGGACTAAGATAGAATGCCTCTTTTCCAGTAAAATGTGTCTCCGGTTCTCTACACTCGCCATAATAAAAACAGCAGCATTAAGCTCCTATTTTACGCTGGTATTCTGTGAGAGCGTGGTCCTTCCCCGGTCGAGCCGACCCATTCGTGCTACAACTATACTATTAATATAGCTGCGGCATGGCTCTTCCACGTAAATTAGTATTAAAAAAAAACCTTAACAATTATAATTAAATGGATGTTAAATAATATAATTACTAGGCTGCACTAAAAGTATCGGGAATGGAATATTTCCACTGTTCCTGTCATATTAAAATCTTTTTAATTGAAAAGTCCTTGGCTTTAAAAATCGAATACCATTTATTTATTTAAAAAAAGATTCTCGGTCTTGTCACAAGGTTTTGTCAAACTTGTTTAGTCGTTGAGAAAATGGAATTGACTTGAGAAAATTCAAGAGCGATGATTTATTATGACTTTCAAAGTGGTTTAACACAAAAACAGTGTGTTGACCGGATGATTTCTGCATTTGGTGATGAAGCCCCATCCAAAACCACAATTTATCGCTTGTTTGCTGAATTTCAACGTGGACGTGTCAAGCTCAGTGATGATCCCCGTCAAGGTCGTCCAAAAACTGTAGTCACCCAAGAAAACGTTGATGCTGTGCGTAAGCTGATTAAGGAAGATCGATATGTGACATACCGCGAAATTCAGGCAACTTTAGACATTGGCATGAGTCAAATACAAATAATCTTGCATGAACAATTAGGTGTAAAAAAGTTGTTTTCCCGATGGATACCGCATTCGCTCTGTGAAGAGCAAAAAGCGGCCCGCGTTACTTGGTGCGTCAGAACTCTCGAAAGATTCCACGCAGAATCCTCAAATGCTGTATACAACATCGTAGCAGGTGACGAATCCTGGATATATGCGTACGGACCCGAAACAAAAAACCAGTCACGAGTTTGGGTGTTCGAAAATGAGTTAAAGCCAACAAAAATTGTTCGTTCACGGAGTGTTGCAAAAAAATCGTGGCCACGCTTGTCGCCAAAACCGGTCATGTTACGACTATTACTCTTGAGGGACAAAGAACGGTTAATGCAGAATGGTATGCTAGCATTTGTTTGCCACAGGTCGTTTCTGAACTCCGTAAAGAGAACTGCAACCGCCGCATCATCCTCCATCACGACAATGTGAGTTCTCACCGCACACAGAACAAAAGAGTTTTTAAAGTAAGAAAACATAGAATTATTAGACCATCCGCCGTACAGCCCCGACCTAGAATAGATTGCGTAGACAGAGATTTTCATCACCTGAAGAAGCTGTGGACGCCTATAAAACGGCCATTTTGGAGACCCCAACTTCCGAATGGAATGGTTGCTTCAATGATTGGTTCCATCGTAAATACATCTTTAAATAGTAGTGTTGTGTCACTTCCTTGATTCCCGAAATTTTCAGTGCCGCCTCGTAATAGAATGAGGCGTTACTTTGCGGAAATCCATTATATAAAAGCTTTTAGAAAAATAACGCGGATATTTGCGAAGTAAATTTTTCTAAAAGCTTTTGTTAAATAATAACTTAAAAATAAACTTACCTAATACCTACATATTATTTTCTAGCCAAAAAAATTCTGTTCCAAAAAATATTATATATACATTATGAAAATAACAATATAGAAGAGGTAGCATCCACTAATTTCTTAGGATTGACAACTGACAGGCAAATGAACTGGAAGTCTCACACAGACCAATTATGTAAAAAAAATAGTAAGCCTGCATATTATGCGCTACATAGACTTGTCCCCTACTTAATAATGATGCTCTATTAATGGCGTATCATGGCGTAGCTGTATCAAACCTACGATATGGGATAATCTTTTGGGGAAACTCAACTCAAAAAGATACAGTGTGTTCAAGGCACAAAAATGATACCTTCGAGCCATGTATATACTCAAAATCAGAAATAGTTGCAGACCATATTTCATCAAGTCTAAAGTAATGGATTTACTCACCTTATACGTGTACGAAGCAGATGTTTTCGTAAAAAAAAAACTGACGCTGTTAGGCGTAACCGACGTGACAACGATAAATTTCGCATACGTAAATCAAACACTACGTTAATGCACTAAAGCATATTTTGCATGGGCCCCGTAATATTTATTAAAATAACAAAAGAAATTGAGCCTAAATATGACTGTATTTAAAAAACGGCTGAAGGATTTCTTGATATGTAAGTCTTATTACAACGTTACGGACTTTCTAAATTATACATTTTGAAGTCATTAAATAAAAACTCTGATTTTAGTGATTAGGAATATTTCGCTATTACGTTATATTTATAGTAAATGTACATCTGCAAGTTAGTCTCTGATATTATGCATAGTAATGAGAGCTAATAATATTCTGATCACCAGATGTCGCTAGTTGACACTGAGGTAAAGTTTTTTGTTACACAATGTCATTTAATTGAGAAGTTTGTTTTTAATAAAAGTTTTTCAGTTTCTAGTATATTATATTAATATACAAAACAACGCCTCAGTGGTTTGTTCTTTAATTTTAACGTTTGTAACTTTTTTTTAATTTTTCTACTTTTGTGAATATCTGTTGTTAGGTTTATTTATTTTTAATCTAATTAATATAAAATACAACTAATAGTACAGAAAGAAACATTAACCTTTACATTTTCCAAACAAACTAACTTCCCCGCTATGAAATCTGTTATGGCTCACTTTTAAGTGGCCCCGCCCTGGTGGCAGAAAAAGTCGTAATAAAGTTGACATGCTAAGTTGTATTGACTTAATTATTTTATTCATTGTATGTTTTAATTTAGAATGTTGTATTGAATTTGGAAGTAGCCTTGACATTAAATTATTCTGCCAAAATTTTATTATGATTATTAGAATTGAATTTATTATAATAACTTTACTTGCATGCCATCAAAATGTTATTAAAAATTTTATAAATTACCAAAAAAATTTTTGCCTAGACTCGTGAGTCGTGACCAACAGTCGACACATACATTAAAAGAATATGCAACCGCATTAATGAACTTTCAATTTTTTAAAGTTGGTTAAAAAGTGGTTTACCTTGCAGTATGATGATGTCTATGCCTTCTTTTCGGTGGTCGAGTGCACACGTAACAGCAAACCCGCCAGTATAGGAACCTGCAATGTGAAATTAAATTGAAATGAACTGAATCCAGGGACTTGAAAACGAAATTAATTTCGTTACGTTACACTAAAAGTTATCTCATAACGTTTCAAAATTTGTAACGATACTAAAACCCAAAATTATCAATACCGTTATAAAAAAATAACCTTAACCACTATCATTTTCGTAGAACAATATTTTTCGTTACGTTATAGGTATCGGTAACGTTATGCCTATATCCGCTTATAATATCGTTACAAATTCACTTGCACACTGCACTACCGCTCCGTTATCGCACTCATTAGAAGCCACCGCCGCCGTACCCGTATTCAAGCATTACCATTAAGTTCGTTAGAGAGAGAGAGAGAGAGAGGGAGAGAGAGAGAGAGAGAAAGAGAGAGAGCGCATCGCACATTATATAAAATATGTAAAGTATGTGTCATAATCATAGAGAATATTATTCCCCAGCATATTCTAAGTCTATGGTCATTATTTTTTTATTTATTATATTTATATTTGCTTTTTAAGGGAAACATACAGTACAATAATAAATTACATAATAAAACATATAAAAGTAATCCTAAAAACCAATGAAGATCTTTGACAGATTAATAACGATATTATATCGTTATATCCATCATCATCGTAATTATTACAGCCCTCCACAAGTCCACTGCTGAACATATCCCTCTCCCAAGGAATGCCACAAAGCACGGTCCTGAGTCACCTGCATCCATTGACTTCCTGCATGTTTTACCAGGTCGTCACTCCTTCTAGTGGGAGGTTGCCCTACAATTGGCATACCGGTACGAGGTTGCCATTTGAGAACCTTTTTTCCCCTTCAGTCGTCGGTTCTTCGAGCTATATGGCCGGCCCATTGGCACTTCAGCTTACTAATTCTATGTCGGTCACTCTGGGTCTACTGCGGACATCCTCATTTCTAAGTTTATCACGCAGAGAAACCCCGAGCATAGCATAAATTTATAAATTTATAATTTTATAAACTTAATAAAACTGTATAAATTTTATAAGCTTATCTGCATGCTATGCTGATTGCTATTATTTCATAACAGGCGTTCTAGTAACTGCTTGAACGTAAAAAAATCAACAATTCAATTTTAATTTACTCACGTAAGAAATTTCTTTTGACATTTTTATTCAATTATTTCCACTAAAAGTACAATAAAACTATTTATTATTATTATTATTAAAAGCCGTTAAAGCAAATTATATTGCCTTAAAACCAATTAAAAAATAGATTAAATGCAAATATCATTTTAGCAAATTCTAAGTACTTAGTTTTTTTTTTATAAGATGAGGGTGACAAACGAGCACACAGTCCACCTGATGGTAAGTGGTTGCTGCGGCCCATAGACATCTACATCTATCCTCTGTTACAAATCAAAATGTAGATGCGTTGTCACCCGTGAGGACTAAGATGGAATGCCTCATTTCCAGTAAAAAGGGCCTCCGGCCACCTGCACTCACCAAGCGAAACGCAGAGGTAAACCTCTACTTCACGCTGGTTTTCTGTGAGGTCGTGGTACCACCCCGGTTCGAGCCGGCCCATTCGTGCGACAGCAAAAGCTGCCGCGTGGCTCTACCACTGTTAAATAAACACACGTAATTTTCACAGTTTTACAACTGTCACCTTTATTTGTAATTTGGGATCTGATTCTAGTTATTATAAAAAATATGTAATTATTCTCGTATTAAATTAATTCATGAATACTCAATACAAACAACGTATTAATTCACAATGTAAATTTTACCTGACACTGTACTATACAGAATACCTGAAGGATGACGCCATGACGTCGCCAATGTTAGACAGGCAGAGAAGCATGAGCGGAATGCCGAGGATTGCGTAGAAGATGGTCACCACCTTTCCCGTCTGTGTCTTAGGTGCAATGTGCCCATATCCTGCGAAGACCATAAACAAACATAAAAACCAATTAAATTGTGGTATGTAAACCTTATAAATCAATAAGATAATTTATCACTCCATCTCATCCGATGGGTGCCGTAAGTAACGAAATAGGTAAAATAATTTTATACGTGGTAGAGCCATGCTGCAGCTATATTAATTGTATAGTAGTAGCTCGAATGGGTCGGCTCGACCGCGGAAGGACCATGCTCACAGAATACCAGCGTAAAATAGCGGCTTAATGTGTTTCTTATGGTGAGTGTAGAGAAACGGAGACACTTTTTACTGGAAATGAGGAATTCCATCTTAGTCCTCACAGCTGACAACGCATCTGCATTTAGATTCGCAAACGAGGATAGATGTTTAAGTTCGACCCCTATCCAAAGGTCACAAGATCTTTCGATGATTTTTTTAGGATAAGGGTGACAAGCGAGCACACAGTGTACCTGATGGTAAGTGGATGCTGTGGCCCATAGACATCTACATCTATTCACGATTAAGAATCAAAATGCAGATGCGTAGGTACCCCTGAGGACTAAGATGGGATACTGGTATTCAGTGTAAATGATCTGCGGTTCTCTACGCTCACCATACTAAATACAGCAGCACGGAGCTTCTATTTTACGCTTGTATTCTGTGAGAACATGGTACCTCCCTGGTCGAGCTCACCCATACGGCTACAACCATAATATATCTAACCAGTGGTAAACAAAAAATGATTTTCAATAAGTATTATGTAATAATCAATATTGAATAAAAAATCATTCATTCATTCATTCTTCTGAAATATTGCTCTTTCACGTATAAATTTATTCATACATACGCAAGTTATCATTAATTTTACATTGCCCTTGTAATGTTCTTGTTACGTCACGTACGCCAACAGTAGTAGTGTGGGTCACATTGCTGACCCGGTTCACTGCAGCGAAGAGTGGTCGGTCTACTTTCGTTTTCTACTACTTAATCTGTGATGTGAAACACTAAAAGAATCACATTATAACATTGTATTTTGATACACACACAACAAGCATCGGTGGTTCAGTGGTAGAATGCTCGCCTGCCACGCGGGCGGCCCGGGTTCGATTCCCGGCCGATGCAGACTTTTTTAATTTTATTTATTTACAAATAGTTATTAAATCATTTTAAAATTTGTTATATTTTGGTACATGAGGATAATACGGTCACCTTAAGCTTTGACACCCTATAAAACCAAAACTAGGCGGAGAATAGATACAAAAACACAAAGCCGTACACTATTTATAAAGAAAAAAAAATCAAACAAGGTTTAGCACTAATTAGTAACACTTCGAAAAATCTACAAAAAAAATAACTACACTACTCAATACTAAAATCGACTAAAATATTTACTAAAAAAAATGTTAACTGTCAAAATGGCGTCGATAAAGCAGCGCCATTTTGACCCTTTAATATTTTAATTGACTGGTGTAGATGTAGATCTATCGTATCACAGAACCTCCTATGCAAACAAGGCTGCAGTTTTTGAGTAATAAGAAACTGGCCATATTAACCGGATGATCATAATATTACCCTCGCGTACATATACCTTTATCATTTATTTTTCAAAGCCTTATTTAAATTTAGAATACAATAGAATAGAATATTTTTTATTCAATATACATTACATGTGTAATTCTTATTGAAAGTCATTTTTTACTTTACCACTGGTTCGAAAAAAACCTCTGTCCTGGGAAGAACCAGCAAGAAACCCAGCGGGATTTTTTTAAATAAATTTTACAATATAAATGATTACGAACTATTTACAAAATTTATTTTAGAAACTGCTTGGAAGCGATCACCTCATTCCCAGGGGTTATTATCAACCATGTATTAATTTATACTATAATAACCCTTTTTATACAGTTTCAGCTTCATAAAACATTTAAACTTGGTAATAGAGAGAACCTGTACCTTTCCGGGACCTTGTTGTAATAGCGTATACATTGCCCCAAGAATGAATTACTGAACCTGTGGAGTCAGTAACTGGCATCACTAGCTTGTGTTTGTTCCTAGTGTTTACAGAATGTATATCACTTTTTTTACTAAAACTATCTTTGTTTTTGTGAACATACTTTAAATTTTCGTAAATATACTGAGAGGCCAAAGTTAATATATTTATTTCTTTAAATTTATCTCTAAGAGACTCTCTCGGTTTTATATTGTAAATAGCTCTAATGGCCCTCTTCTGTAACAAAAATAGTTTCTGAATCAGCCGCATTTCCCCATAGCAAAATCCCATAAAACATTATGCTATGGAAATAACTGAAATAAACTAATCTAACTGTCTCGACACTAGTGAGACCTCTAATCTTTTTTACAGCATAGGCTGCAGAACTTAGTCTGCTTGCTAATTTGGATATATGGGGGCCCCACTGGAGCTTTGCGTCGAGAGTGATGCCAAGAAAAACAGTGGATACAACAGGGCTCAATTCTTCCCCATTTAAAAACACATTGGTATTCAGATTTTTAACATTCGTTGTTGTAAATTTAACACAATTAGTTTTATTTCCGTTCAAATGCAGATTATTAACGTTAAACCTTTATTAATTTCTGTAACTAACTTTCAAACAGTTGGATTGCTTAGAACAGAAATAAAAGATATCAACAGTATTTTAACACATTATTGGGAGAGATTTAGAATAACTATAAATGAATAAATAGAAAAATGTTTGTTGTTACTCGCGTTGGAACCTAGTACGTACGATTTTGTAGTTAGGCACTTTCATCTTTAACTACTTTGCCACAGGGTCGTTAATCAATATTAAAAGAAACATGTACCTACGTTAATGTTGAAATACTTCGAACTGCCAATTATTCACACCTAACACCTTACTGTTGAAATTTTGGTTTCACCATATTCCGTATTTAATAAAGTTTTATATTATTTTGAAACGTGTTATTAATTTATTTTGATAAGAGATAACATTGACCGAGCGCGCCGCTATGAATAATATACTATAGTATACCACTCTTATACAAAATATGTCTTCTTCTTCTTCGACAGCTTTTGCTGAATCCAGTAAACAGGCCTATTTTCGCTAGTTATCAAGCATCACTTGAATTATTTGGTCATATCACAATAATACGTAGAAACATTATATACGTGGTTGATCCATGCTGCAGCTATAGCAAAGTTGTAGCAAGAATGGGTCAGCTCGACCAGGGAAGAACCACGTTCTCATAGAATACTAGCGTAAAATAGCAACTTAATGCTGCTGTGTTTCGTATATTAAGTGTAAAGAAAAGGAGATCCTTGTTGCTGGAAATGAGGCATTCCATCTTATTGTTAGTCCTAAAGGGTGACAATGCATCCGCATTTTAATTCTTATTTGAAAATAGATAGAGTACGGTAATCCGACGTGACCGGATAGAGATGTGTTTTATGAGGCACAGGCGAAAAGCACCGCCAACGTCCTGACTCCGCGATGCTACTGAGAATTTCTTGACGGAATAACTTTAATAGCTCATTTTTGCCTGATCTCCGGGTCATGAGGATTTCGATCCTCATGATCGACCACTAACATAACGAGACAGTAAAAAAAATTATATTGAAATATCGAACACGTGAAGAAGCCATGTCGTGGCGACTTAAGAGGACCCTTCGCCCCATTTTGTCCTTTGGCTGACGTAAGAGGCGTCTATGGTTTAAAGATTTTATTTTATATAGGATAAGGTAACAAACGAGCACACAGTCCACCTGATAGTAAGTGGTTGCTGTGGCCCATAGACATCTACATCTATCCTCAATAAAGAATCAAAATGTAGATGCGTTATCACCTGTGAGGACTAAGATGGACTGCCTCTTTTCCCGTAAAAAGAGTCGCCGGTTCCCTACACTCACCATACGAAACACAGCAATGTTCAGCTGCTATTTTACGCTGGTATTCTGCGAGAGCGGGGTCCTTCCCCGGTCGAGCCGACCCATTTGTTCTACAAATATGCTACTAATATAGCTGCAGCATGGCTCTACCACGTGTATTACTGGTATAGTTGTAGCACGAACGGGTCGTCTCGACCGGAGAAGGACCACGCTCTCACAGAATACCAGCGTAAAATAGCAGCATAACGCTGCTATGTTTCGTATGGTAAGTGTAGAGAACCGGAGACCCTTTTTACTGGAAACGAGGCATTCCATCTTAGTCCTCACGGGTGACAATGCATTGTTTTTGATTCGTAATCGGGGATAGATGTAAATGTCTATGGGCCACAGCAGCCACTTACCATCAGGTGGACTGTGTGCTCGTTTGTCATCCTAATTCTATAAAAAAAACTTCAATTTCCCTCTGTCGCCTCTTACGACACCCACGGGGCGACATGAGGTAGTGGATATTCTTACACCGCCACCACGCGATTAAATCGCGTTTGTAAAAATAATATATATGATTTTGATCGATAGTATCCGTTTCCGTCGCAATATTTGGAACGGATACCACCGAGGCCAAGTTTTTAAAACGTAACAATCACAATGAAACTTATTAGCTATAATAATGACGAGATTCGGGCGACCTTCGGAGATTTCCCAATAAAGCGGGTCGAGGAGAAAATTTTATTGATAGGATCCGACAGTTTAATTGACTTGGTATTCCCTGGTTATAGCATTATATCGTTACCGTTACAGAATATCAAAGTCCATAGCTTGCCACATAGGGGGGATGTTTACCATAGTTGCCACGCTTGGCAAGCGGGGTTGGCAACCACAGTTTTGAAGTTATACTTCTTTTGGAGCGTTTGGTAAAAGTGATCAGAGTGAATTTTAACGATGCGTGCGCACACCGACACCTAAAAACGACACCATAAAGTTGTTACGATGCGCGCGCATACTGACACCTTAAAGCGGCAACTTTAGTGGGGAATTGTCTCTCAAGTTCTTTTTTGTTTTGTTATGCTAAAGAACTATAACTTCCTACGTGCGTACATAAGTACACACGCACATTTTTATTTTTAGTCATTATTAGAAGACGCTGCTGCCCATCTCCCGATTTGTTTCCCTCTGTCGCCTCTTACGAAACCCACGGGATGATATGGAGTAGTAGATATTCTTACACTTTTTTTAAATGGTTTTTTTTTATAGGATAAGGGTCACAAACGAGCACACAGTCCACCTGATGGTAAGTGGTGTCTGCGGCCCATAGACATCTACATCTATCCTCTATTACAAATCAAAATGTAGATGCGTTGTCACCCGTGAGGACTAAGATGGAATGCCTCATTTCCATTAAAAAGGGCCTCCGGCCACCTGCACTCACCAAGCGAAACGCAGAGGTAAACCTCTACTTCACGCTGGTTTTCTGTGAGATCGTGGTACCACCCTGGTTCGAGCCGGCCCAACCGTGCGACAGCAAAAGCTGCCGCGTGGCTCTACCACTGGTAACAATGTGATTAACATTACTGATTTTCCCTGTGACCACGCGTCGTTCGGTTAAAATGCCGAAGGTAGTCGGATGGCGGATTCGAACTCACGACCTTTTGAGTTCGCGGTCTGCACCTTGCCATTAGGCTACTGTCGCTTCGAGTTAAACATTAGATTAACAATTTTCAATAGAGATAAAATATTGAGGACCGATTTTTATATTGTCAGATAAAAGTTATTTTTATGATAAAAAACAACATACATTGAATATAATTACTACTGTTATATATAATAACATAGGTACAATTGATAATTTTAATATAATTATATATATCACAGTGGTAGAGCCACGCGGCAGCTTTTGCTGTCGCACGGTTGGGCCGGCTCGAACCGGGGTGGTACCACGACCTCACAGAAAACCAGCGTGAAGTAGAGGTTTACCTCTGCGTTTCGCTTGGTGAGTGCAGGTGGCCGGAGGCCCTTTTTACTGGAAATGAGGCATTTCAATTTGGTCCTCACGGGTGACAAAGCATCTACATTTTGATTTGTGGATTTGTGTTGAATGGAGGATAGATGTAGATGTCTATGGGCCGCAGCAACCACTTACCATCAAGTGGACTGTGACGAGCACACAGTCCACTGTTGTCAACCTTATTCTATAAAAAAAAATTAAAAATACAGTTGTAAAATAGTTCTATTGTTTCATTTTTATATTCCGTAATAATAATAATTTATTTGATTGATAATTTTTATATTACGGTTGAAAAATCAGCACTTAGCCGTAAACGTGGTTTATTTTGGTTGCAGCACGTATGTGTCGACTTGACCGAGGAAGGGCCACGCTCTCACAGAATACCAGCGTAAAATAGAAGCTTATACTGCTGTGTTTAGTATGGTGAGTGTAGAGATCCGGAGACCTTTTTGACTGGTTACGATTCATTCTGTCTTAGTCCCAGCGGGTGATAATACATCTGCATTTCGATTCTTAAATGTAGATGTTTATGGGTCACAGTTCTACTTACCATCAAGTAGACTGGGTGCACACTATAAAATAAAAATAAAACAATTTGAATATTGTGTCACATAACGTCACATTTATTTACATTTGATCCGTAATAATCACGGCGGCCAGTCTCAACGGAGAGGAGAGGATTAGCGTAGGTGCATAAGCACAGCCGGGCTAGCATGGGCAGGAGACAATGAAAATGTTTATCCCCTCGCTTAGTTTTATTCACCCTTCGAGCATGGGCATACCGGTGGATATAATATCCACAGTAAATAAAATGGGAGATAGACTTAGATAGATTTCTTGTATGAATTTTATATTAAACTGCGAAGATATCGCGTAACATATATAACATATAAAAAAAACATACACTCGAATTGAGAACATCTTCTTTTTTGAAGTCGGTAAAAAAGGCGGCTATTGGGATATTGAATTTGTGATTGTGTAGACGACGGGAAACCATCTACCACTTCTTTAACACATTCCCTTTTTTTGCCTACCTCCTCGGGGATAATATGCGTTTTTTAGAGTATTTTTTTATAGGATATGAGTGACAAACGAGCACACAGTCCACCTGATGGTAAGTGGTTGCTGCGGCCCATAGACATCTACATCTATCCTCTGTTACAAATCAAAATGTAGATGCGTTGTCACCCGTGAGGACTAAGATGGAATACCTCATTTCCAGTAAAAAGGGCCTCCGGCCACCTGCACTCACCAAGCGAAAACTTCACGCTGGTTTTCTGTGAGGTCGTGGTACTACCCCGGTTCGAGCCGGCCCATCCGTGCGACAGCAAAAGCTGGCGCATGGCTCTACCACTGTTAAAAAGTTTTTTAGAATAAGGGTGACAAACGATCACACTGTCCACCTGATGGTAAGTGCATGATGTGGCCCATTGACATTTACACTTATCCTCGATTAAGAAATAAAATGCAGATGTGTTGTCACCACTGAGAAATAAAATGGAACGCCTCGTTTCCAGTAGAAAAGGTCTCCGGTTCTCTACACTCTACATTAACCTGCTTTTTTACGCTGGTATTCTGTGAGTGCGTGTTATAAATATGAACCTACGACCTCCGTCTCAGCCACACAAGGATTTGAAATCATAAAAATTTCAAATAAAAATCTATTGATTGAAGATTGAAGCATGTACTTGAGAACGACTGGACAGAATTTGATTTTTTTTATGTGTGGATTGGACCCGATAGGTGGCGTTGTTATCGAGGCCCAGAAATCACCCGACCGAAACCGTGGCGAATCGCTAGTAAAAGAAATCTGAAAAACGGTTGACCCTGCAGGACAGGATATCCCTGGAACTTCTCGTTTATTTTCGAGCGCAACTTTAAAATTAGTTAAAGTTAAAAATATAACCCAAAACAACCTCCGCATAACTTTGTAGATTGACTTCATGTGATTCTACAAAATTAAATTTAATTAAATAGTTATTTTTAAAATGCGTAGGATAGGAAACAAACTATGCGCCGATGCTTACGTAAAGTATTTTAGTAAAATCAAAATACTTATTGTTGTGAAGTTTATTAATATATAAGGCCTTCTATGAAACAATAGATCAGAACTATTTCAATATCATTGATCCTTTCCGCTTGTTTGGTTAATACATAATCGGTGTACGAACTGAGCAAGCAGTCTTTGCTAGACCGGTGCTGAGTGCAGTGTGCAGGCGCCGCTGATTCGCATTCGCAGTCACGAGGAAACGTGCGCGAAGTAGTCCTGGCAACATTTCTGAAAACTATGATACCTTAGTTTTTTTTTAAAGTTTGAAGTGTGAAATTAAAACATGCAACTCGGTAAGTGTTCCGTTTGTTATTTTTTATTTTTAAAAGCACAATATTTTTATAAATTCATAGATTTTTTATAAATGAATTATTTATTATGGTATTAATTTTTTTTTCATTTTGTATCAATTAATTTAAGCTTCAATTATGTTTTATTGAATAATCAAACTATAAAATTTATTATTCTTGACATAAATATAAATAATAAAAATAAATGTTTATTTTTCTGTCAAAAAAATCTTTAGCTTTTTGAAGCGTAGTTTAGTTTAGGCAAAAGGCCAGGGCTCTCGGCCATAAACATGATGTACTCAGCTATATTATTTTGCGCTATTTAAATTTTACAAACAGAAAAACTGCACTGGCTCATAAAAATAAACAAAATAATTATCCTTGTACAATTGCTGTTCCAAATTTAACCATATAACATGTATAGACACATATTATAGACTTGCATTACCCGTGAATGTAATGTCAAATTAAAAAAAAACGCAACCAAAAAAAGTTGAAAGTAATTCTTTATTTATATATCTATACAGCACAAATTAGTTTTTAGTTTACTACCCCGGGAGGAGGGTAAGGTTTTTCGAGTGTAGATATTTTTTTATAGGATAGGGTGACAAACGAGCACACAGTCCACCTGATGGTAAGTGGTTGCTGTGACCCATAGACATCTACATCTATCCTCGTTCGCGAATCAAAATGCAGATGTATTGTCACCCGTGAGGACTAAGGTGGAATGCCTCTTTTCCAGTAAAAAGGGTGTCCGGTTCTCTACACTCGCCATACGAAATACAGCAGAAAAACGTTATCACCACACTAGGATTTTCTCCTGTATCGCGGGGGCAGTGTACATACATAGATTTCACAAGGACGAACATCCAGATCCAGAAAAATTAACTGCTGCTACTCATTGCTGAGCCACTGCGCCACGGAGCCGTCCATTGTCTCATGGAGGATATCTGCCATAGTTGCCTCTCTTGGCAAACTGGTTGGCAAACGCAGCTTTTATTATTTTTACTTGTTATTAAAAATATACTACTGGCCATCTCATTTATTTAAATCTTACTAGAACAATGACAAATCTAGAAGTTGTTTAGTCTGTAACGGGTTTCCCCAAATGGTTATATTGCTTCAGAGTACCTTGAGGTTCTCTTGCGACATCCTTCGACCGTCCGCCCACGGCGAATATAATTTAATGCTATATTGGTCGGCAGTGACGTATGGCCAGGTGGCCGTGGCCCCCGGCTGATTTCAAGAGGCGACATTTTTGAAAAAAAAAAAACGAAATGAAAACACACACACACACACACAAACAAACACAGACACTTCTTATGTCTCTATTACCCTAACAACAACCTAACAAAAGAGTAACTGTCACTGCTGAACATAGGGCTCGCACATAGATTGCCGTATATAGGGGGGGATATTTGCAATAGTTGCCATGTTTGGCAGGCGGGTTGGCAACCGCAGTTTATTTTGATTTTAGTGGTTACTAAGAAAACGCTGCTGTCCATGTCTAGGTTTATTTCCCTCTGTCGTCTCTTACGACACTTATAACGATATGGGGTTGTGGATATTCTTACACCGCCACTACACGATCAGCGTCAAGTGTACAAAATCTATAGTTTAACATATTTTTTTTTTAGAATAAGGGTGACAAGCGAGCACACAGTCCACCTGATGGTAAGTGGTACTGTGGCCCATAGACATCTACATCTATCTTCGTTTGCGAATCAAAATGCAGATGCGTTGTCACCCGTGAGGACTAAGATGGAATGCCTCTTTTCCGTCTCCGGTTCTCTACACTCACCATACGAAGCACAGCAGCATTAAGCTGATATTTTACGCTGGTATTCTGTGAGAACGTGGTCCTTCCCCGGTCGAGCCGACCCATTCGTGCTACAACTATACTATTAATATAGCTGCAGCATGGCTCTAATAATAATGTAATTTCTAAATAAACGTATCGTTTCATTATATAGTTAATTATATAACTTCTATTAAGTAGCACTTACTAGACTGGTGGGTAACAGTTTTGCAATTACCAGTTTATATGCGGCAATCGTTTTGCTTTGATAGTCAAGACTATTATCTATCAAAAATTTTTTTTAATCAACTAGCTGTTCCAAGCAACTTCGCTCGCGTGTTGGGGTTTTTATGTTTTTGCGCGGAACCCTAATTATTTTTTAAAAATATAAGTACCCTAAGTTACTTCTTGTAACATGAGCTATCTAACAGTGAAAGTTCCGTCAAAATCGGTCCAGCCGTTTCGGAGATTAGCCGGAACAAACAGACAGACAGACAGACAAAAATTAAAAAAAATGTGTTTTTGTTATAAGTACCGTATATAATTTCATATCAACTTCAAGATACTATAAGCTCATTCTGCGTAATTATGACATCGTGACGTCAAACACTTCATTCCTCCCCGTGAGCATGGTTGCTGTAAAACACCCGAAACGTCGGGAATTAAAAAGTTAAATTAAAAGCGATAAAATCCGTAAAAATTAGTTTCATTTAATGATTTTCAATAAATTTTCTTGTAATCTATATTGAATAAAAACAATTCTATTCTATTCTATTACAAACGTTAAGCGTTAACTATTATTAAACTTCATGTAAGAAGATGTTTTGATAAACATTGTAGATTTTAACGTATGTATGTACGTTGTACGAGTTACACAATACTACAGAAGTTATTGAACCATAATAATTAAAAACTAAAAATTTTATACAACCGACGTCAATATAAATTATTAATAATAATTCAAAACTATTGGTCAAACCTTGATCAATTTATATGGAACCACATGAAAAGCACCAGCGTTCAAATAAAAAAAGAATCATCGAAATCGGTTCACCCAGAAAAAAATTATAAGGTAACACACATAAAAAGAAAAGAAAAAATAATAACATACAGTCGAGTTGAGTACCGTCTCCTTTTTGAAGTTGGTAGAAAAGGTCAAGAAAAAAGAGCAGTCTCCTCTTTTTTAAAATGTCGACAGCGCATCTGCAATTCCCCTGGTGTTGCGATTCTTCATAGGCGGCGGTAGTCACCATCAGATGAGCCGCAAGCTCGATAGCCCACTCTTATATATGTATATAAAAAAAACGGTTTTTCTAATGTTTTCTATCTATTGAGTATTATTATATAATTAAAGAATACTCTGACTGATAATAACCCCTGGCAATGAGTTGATCTATGCGTTTTCTATAATTCAATTTAAGTAATCTAGAAGACCTCTTTTATGCTTAGAAGTTTGTCTAGGTAGGGACGGTGGTTCGTACCTTTTTCTGTCGGAAAACAGCAGTGCTGCACTGTTGTGTTTCGGTCTGCAGGATATAGAGTACCACTATAATTACATGCATCGGCAATTGTAAGGCATCCTGGTCTTCAGAGGTTACAATGCAATGTTTCTTTGTTTGCAGTTGCCACACTTACCCTCTGGTGGATTGTAAGTTTGTTAGCCACTTTATTATTCACTAGCTGACCCGTGCTTACTTTGTTGGGCCATCAAGCATTTTTACTTGTGATGAAATTATCTTGTATGGTTCTTAGTACTGAGTGTTTAGAATTTATTTTCGGAATTGATTGACAAATATTGTTATTTCACATTAAAACAATATTATTAATAACAGTCAAATATAGCCATGTCATTCAGCAATAATGTAGCTTTCTACTCTTGAAAGAATTTTTATAGGTAATCATATCAGTAGTTCCAGAGATTACTTGCTACAAACAAACTATATGTAACTGTATGTTTCTTTTATGTGTGTTTTTATACGTGGTAGAGTCATGCTGCAGCTATATTTCTGGTATAGTTGTAACACAAATGGGTCGGCTCGACCGGGGAAGGACCACGCTCTCACAGAATACCAGCGTAAAATAGCAGATTAACGCTGCTGTGTTTCGTATGGTGAGTGTAGAGAACCGGAGACCCTTTTTACTGGAAACGAAGCATTCCATCTTAGTCCTCACGGCTGACAACGCATCTGCATTTTGATTCGTAATCGAGGATAAATGTAGATGTCTATGGGCCACAGCAACGACTTACCATCAGGTGGACTGTGTGCTCGTTTGTCACCCTTATCCTATAAAAAAAACTCACAAACTTACAAACTTTACTTCTTTATAATATTAGTATAGTTTAAAAAAAACTTGTGTAATTATTTAATTCATAAATAACCACATTATTCATTATTATAAATTATTATTTAAAAAAATTGTCCCGTTGTGTTTCTTACTGGTTCTTTCTACGGTAGGTTTTTTCCGAACCAGTGATAAAACCATAAATTACTTGCACTATTTCTGATGTATAAAAATTAATGTATGTTCGTATTTAATGCATTGCCATACCGTTCACCAGATTGCGCCAAAACTTTGTCAACTTTTTGCTTGCACTTGCGCGAAGGTCAGAGGCACAGTACAATCAACTTACTAGTAGGTGGCGCGCGTATCATACTGACAAATTTATTAGAAAGTTATATATCATTCAACCTAATGTATGATGTAATGAATGTATTATCATTTATTGATTAAACAATATAATTCTTCCAAATTTAAATTTCTTCGATATTTCAGCAATTATTACTTCTGCGGCTGCAACGTGCCGAGTACCTACCTACCTACTAGCTAGAGTCATAGAGTTATATATAAAAATTATTTTATTCTATTCTATTCTATTCTGACATTGAAAAAATGTTTGTGCCCAATTATGCGACATTGTAAATCTAATAGAATAGAATAGAGTAGAATAATTTTTATTCGATATTGATTACAAGTAATTCTTATTGAAAGTAATTTTTTTACTTTACCACCAGTTCAAAAAAATCCTCTGTCCTGGGAAGAACCAGCAAAAAACCCAGCGGGACTTTGTTTTAAAAATAAATTTACAATATAAATGATTACAACCTATTTACAACATTTATTTTAGTAACTGCTTGGAAGCGACCACCTCATCAACCATGTTTTCATTTATATTATAATAACCCTTTTTATATTTTATAGTTTT